ATTTTCTTCTAAAAAGCTCTAAGTGTTGAACTCGATCGAGTTAGGATTAGACGGCTCGAGCTGCTGTTCTTGCACCATCTTTGGTTCTAACACTTAGCCTTCTGCCAAAGCAAAGCCACTTTCTTGAGAGATCCCTGTTAACTAAACCACCATACAAAAGAGACCCTCTTTGTCTCTTAACCCATAAACCCTTGAAACCAAATGAGTTGATTGATCTTGCATGTTTTTGGTTCACTGTTTTTGCTTAATGAATGTTAAAGGGATTTGCTGATTTGAATGCATTGTTTGAGTGACTGTGAAGTGGGATTGATGTTGATAAGCATGGTTAAATCTTAAATGAATATCTCTCACCTTGTTGCATTCTAGAATCTCTAAGTTGGACATTTAGCAAATCGCTTTTGAGGACATGTTTTTAAGTGTTGAATCAACTTGTTTTCAAACCTCATCTCTTTCTTGTTCTATTTGTTTGCTTGAGGGCAAGCAAAGGTCAAGTTTGGGGGTGTTGATGTACTTGCATTTTACATAGTTTTAGTACATCTTTTATGCATCTTTTGCATAGTTTTAGCATCCATTAGCATCATATCTTGTTCCTTTTCTCTTCTTATGCATTCATAGTAGTTTTAGGTTGCATTTGCATACATATGCATGTTTGGTCCTTTGAAATAGGTCTTTTGGAGCATTCTGGAGCATATGGGACGTGAGGAGCATGGAAGGGACTTGGGCATGGACGCAGCTCAACTGGATACGCAAAGGAAGAAGGAGGAAGCCATCTTGAAGACCAGCTCGACCGTCTACTCGACCAACCGGTCGAGTTCCTCAACTCGACCGGCCAAGCTTCAACTCGATCGAGCTGAGAAGTCAAAGTCAAACCCGAAAAATGTTGCTTCCCCCTTGACTTTCCTTTGACCCTAAACCTAATCCTCTTGTATTTAAAGGCTCTAAGCCACGAAAAAACCACCAAGCTTTAGATTACTTTTTGTTTTAGTTTCTTTTAATTTATTGTCTTTTACTTTTTAGAGCTCTAATCCCATCTTTGTGTTCTTGAAGCTCTTGCTTCTTGAATCCTTAGATCCTGGATAATCTCTTTTGTATTTGCACTTGCTTATTTCAATAAAAGTTGTTTATTTTCATCTCCTCTTTCTTTGATGTCTATTTCATTGCATTTGCTTGTGTTTACATTCATGTGTAGTGAGTAGTTACCCATTAGGGTTTGAGATGGGATAGATTAGGGGATCTTTATGCTTAATCCTTCTTGCTTATGTTCTTAATCTAGAAATCTCTCTCTTTTGGAAATCCTTAAGGCTACATGACCACTACCCCTGGCTTGTATGTCCATAGACGATTCTCCACATGGAAGTGATGGAAATCGTTGGAAAAGGTCCACTAAGAGCTCCAATAACTCTTGCTCTCGAAATGGAGTTCATAGGGGTTGGATGGATTAGTTTGAGCAATGATCCTATGGCCTCCAAGGCTTGATTCTCACTGGCTAACCCCCTGTTTCTGAGATCAAGTCTTGGTTGATAGCTTTCACCTTGGGAAAGGGTTAGCTAGGCATTGAGAAGTTCAATATCAAGAGATACCTTGATACAAGTTGTTTGAGAGCAAGATTGATTAAGTATAGCCTTCCTCTGATTGTTAAATCCCTGTCTTAGACCCTAATTCTCGTATTAGCTTGTTAAAGTCGCTGTCTTTATTGCTTTTCACTTCAACTCGACCCTAAACTCGATCGAGCTCGGTTACTCTATTCCCACTCGACTCGAGTCCTTGGTCGAGCTGTTGCTCTACTGCTTTATTTACTTACTGCATTTCATTTCTGTTTCATTTAGGTTGTTAGTGTTACCCCATATCTATTACTGCTTGCTTGACTTCCTTGTTATTTCATAATCTCATAGAGTGACATCTTCTCCCATTTTGGATTGATACCCTTTATGCTATAACGTCTATCATGGTTAAAAATTTGTGCCCTACCAGCACCATGTATTACTGGAAGAACTGTCTGAAATCACCTCCAAACACAATTACTTTACCTCCGAACGGCTTTCCATCTTTATTACCAATAATGTCTGAAAGACTTCGATCCAAAGACTCGAAACAATGCCTACTCATCATAGGAGCCTCGTCCCATATAATAAGAGACGACTCTTTGACCAAATTTGCTAGATCAGAACCTTTGCTCATAACACATGTAGTAAACTCATCTGGATTCAGAGGTATCCCAAACCTGGAATGAGCCGTGCGGCCTCCTTGTAACAGTAGTGATGCTATACCACTTGAAGCTACATTTAAAACGATCTCTTCCCTGTATCTAATTGCAGAAGACAAAATCCTCCACAAAAATGTTTTTCCAGTTCCACCAAAGCCATATACAAAGAACACTCCTCCTTTTCTCGCTAAAACAGAACCAATTATTTCCTCATACACTTTCTTCTGTTCAGGAGTAAGCTTAGCAAAGTCTCTGTCGTGGTTTGTTTTCTGCTCCTCTTTTTCATAACTCTTTTCATCAAAAATTAGAACATTATCGGTAGCTGAATAAGTAACTCCCCGTGGTTGAGGCATACTTTTAAACCTCGTCCAGTCAGCGCCATTCCTTTTTACTAACTTTACAATCTCCTGGAGAGCATATTCCCTTTTGTCTTCGTCACTTAGCGTAAGTGCTGAAATTCGTTGACAATACTATTTAGTAAATAGATTCCTATTTTTTTTTCTTAAATTAAGGAAATGAAGAGTGAAGATATTGTACCTGGTCTATTAAGATCTCTTCTTCTAATCATCTCCATGTCGTCAGAAAGAAACTCCCAACACGCATACCAAACTACATCTGGCGAAATCAGACTATCTGAAGTAAGCATGATGACAAACAACTGGCGAAGTTGTGATGGAGGACATGTGAAGCTTCTTCTGCAAATATCATCGATATACTCTTGGTCATCCTCTAGCAGGCCCCTAGCGTAACAGGCATCTTTAAATTCAGGGTACAACACACCATTATAGGTCTTTATCTCCTCAAACGATCTTGGACCTCTCACGACGTTTAACAGCATTCTCAAATAGTAAGCATCTTCAATCTTCCTTGGTGCGTAATTGATTCTTCCAATGCTGAATCCTCTCTTTCTACGTTTCCAGCGTTTTTCACTTTTTACGTAGGTAAAATAATTTGGAATCTGAACATAGGTAAGCGTTCTAGCAAATTCACACTCCTTGTTCAGTTCAAACCATGCCAGCATCATTGTCTTCTCAATTAGTTTACGTGTTACGACCCTCTCCATTTTGTCAATACCTTTGAAAATAACCAACTGTTTCCCTTCGAGGTGGAATGTCAGTTTCTCCACTGATACAGATCTATGGTGTATCGGGTATTTGAATGTTCTCCAAACAGCTTCAGAGGGTGAAATGTACCTAAAATAAAAGATAATGATATGACCACAGCTAAGAAAACAGTCATATCGCTTAAATGGAGGCTAAAGACAAATAATAAAGCATACCGGCAATCAAAGTAGTCCTTGATCTCATTCCTATTTTCCTTGGAAGCTTTCTTCTCTGCGCTAACACCCTCATCATTTGATCGACTGTTGGCATCTCCACTAACATCCTTATGTCCGCTCTTTGTTTTTCTCCTGGCTTCCTCAGCTGACTCAACGACAACAGAAACACGATCGGCTCCTTTGTTGATGTACTTAAATAAATATCTGACAGCCCCCGTCTGGTTACACCACTCAACATTGATGTGTGCTCTATAACGGACGGATAGGGTTTTGTTGTATGGAATTACGTATCTGTTGTCGCATTTAAAACCGTTCTTCTCCACAAACACATTGGGCTGATCGCGTCTCCTATATAATGGGAATCCTTCTCTATTGATTGTAGTCTTTTCAGCGTGGCTCTTGGGGAAGTTCTTAGTACATATTCATTGCTCATACATGGTGAATTGGGGTTGGCATGACCACATGGTCCATGAATCATCATATCTTTCACAACATCATACAACTCTGGATCTTTTGATTTATCTGGTATTTCGGCGGATATAATATCGTCAATAGCGTCTGTTGTTTGGAGCTTTGACTTCTGATCCATGAATAGAAGAATGTGTGCATGTGGCAAACCTCGCTTTTGAAATTCTATGGTGTACATAGCTGCATTGCCAATCATGTCTCATCGTTAGATAAATAGTTATCAACATATAGGAATATGCATATCAATATCAACGATAAAAGTAGGGGCTTCGTAAACTTACAGGCCACCGTTTTTCCCAGCAGGTTTTTGAGAGTTAGATCTTCCATAAGAGATTTTAGTTTCATCCGGTAGACTCTGCTAATAAGTTCAGCTCTATCAGTGGCACTTGTCTGGTTCAATCTCAAGTAGGATAATCTGTTAGACTCTATCATAGTGTAGGTATCAACCAGATACTGCTGGAACAATCTCCTAGAGTGTAGCAAGTGATTTGACTCATTTGGTCTAACCATTAGACGATACGCAAAAAACTGTCTAACGCTGATGTTTTCCTTTTTCGTCTTCTTAGAAGCTTCAACATTGGCTTTCTTAATTCCAAGTCGGAAACCATCTTCTCCATAAGAAAACCCCAGAGGATATTGCAGTGGTATGTAGGCTGGATGGATTTCGCTTATCCGTCGCAGCTTGCTGATCGTTTCTCTAGAACAATATCCCGTCTTGTACCCATTTCTAAATTGAAATCTCCGGGAATAATTGCAGCAACCTCAGACACAGTTGGAACATTGTAAGTTCTACCATCTGTAACACGATCACTAATTATCCTCATATGAAAACTATCTTCAGGATTAGTGTTAAATCTTTCTCTTGCAGTCCTGAAATTCTTGACATAGGGGTTGACATCGTCGAGCATCTTTGTCAGCGCATCAATGATGTCCTTCCTGAGTCTATTCTTCTTATCTGGCTTGGATGCGTGTTTCCCCTTACTGAAACACAATGACAAAACCCTAAATTGGTAATGACTTCTAAATTATTATGACAATAACTTTAAACTAAAATATATTACCTGAAAAAATTCAGTCTGTTGTCCAATTCATTTTCAGAATCAACTATGTACATCTGATAGAATTTTGCATAATCACCGGGGTTTGGAAGCATACTTCCAATTAGGTGGTAGTTTTCTCCGTGAGCTGAAACATGTTTGGACCCTTTCCTTTCTTGATAGAACAATCAGTTTTACCTCCGAGAGACGTCATAGAGAACAACATGTTGTAGATTCTGATAAATTTTTGAAAGTGCCTGCTCATTTCATCATCCCCAAACAGCAATTTTTTAATAAGAGCAGGAGGATCCTTTAGTAAGGGCAATTTGACTTGGCCGTGCATACAACAAAGGTTGAATGATGGATCCCCCGTCGTCCTTCTTCTGTTTAGTCGTTCTCCATACCAAAATTTAGCACCACAATGCACGCACGAATAAGTCATGTCACCCTCGTCATTGTATACTGCACAACACAGTGAACATACAAATCATGATTTACTATACAAAAAGTTCGCTGTTGCATCATACATATAACACGTTGTTGCTAATTAGCTTACCAATCTTATCGGGTACAGTTTCTTTCTTTTTTGCCATACTCACTCTCTTTCGTTTTTTCAGAGTTGGAGAAGGTTGAACAGTTTCTTGAGTAATCACACTCTCAGGAAGTGTTGGAACTATGTGTACGGTCGAAGGAGGTTCTTGTTCGGAGATATGCGTTTGTTGCAGATGTGATGGAGAAGGTTGGTATTTATCATTATCACCATCTTCTGTGTCTGTGCTATCAGGACTACTGCATTGGAAAATGTGTTCGTAATCCCCTTCATCGTCTGTTAATACAAATCACGATGATAAGTTACAGATCTAGGCTAACGTTTACAATGTCTAAAAATCATAATATAAATTATCACCTTCATCAGAGTTTAAAAGATCCGGATAGTTATGTGGTCGTTCTTCATCCAGGTTATCATCCGAAAGTCCTCCAAAACATCATCGTCATCTGGCAAGTTTGAGATATCCTGCAGTACTCTCCTTCCACGTTGTCTCTTCCTCGTTTGTAAGTTCTGTACCCTTGACTCATTTTCTGTTTGTTAAACAGATACATAGTTAACTTCTTAATTCTTATTTAGAGGTGTGCATATACAGGATATATTCATTGCATAAAAACATGGACGATAAGCATTACCTTGTGTAGAAAGTGTTGGCCCGACTGGTTTTCCATTCTTACGTTTAGGCTTTTCCTTCGTCGGGATGGTAGTTCGTTTAGATATGCCTTCAACATCATCAATTAGTTTTCTAAAAATATATTTGAGTGGTATACATGCTCCACTCATTCTCGTTGCTGCATTTGGTTCATTGTTAACACCCTTCGTTTTCTTTCTGCTTCTCTTAGGTTGAATATTTGCTTTAGCAGTGACTTTCGCAGCATCTCCTTTGTTTTCAGATTGATTTTTGACCTGACCATGAAAACCAAATGGTCATCATTATTCTACTTCATCAATTAGATAATAAAATAAAAAAAGGAGATGGGTGCCTGTTACCGGTTCTGAGTTTGGATTGTTACTTGAGGTCAATTTCCTCTTCCTCGTGACTGGAGGTTTAGTGTTGTTATTACACTTATCGCTAATTCTCGTTGCTGCATTTGGTTCAGTGTTCACGTCCTTCGTTTTCTTTCTGCTTCTCTTAGGTTGAATATTTGCTTTAGCAGTGAGTTTCGCAGCTGAACCTTTGTTTTCATTTTGATTTTTCACCTAACCATGAAAACCAAATCATCATCATGATCCTACTTCATCAATATGACAATAAAAAAAGGAGATGGGTGTCTGTTACCGGTTCTGAATTTGGATCTACATTTTCATTGTTACTTGCGGTCAATTTCCTCTTCCTCGTGACTGGAGGTTTAGTGTTCTTATTAAACGTGTCTGTGCCTACATTTTTAAGACGAACCATTTTCCAACTGCATAAACAAAAAGGTCTAAGTTACGTAGAAATGTAGACAAAGTTTTTTGGTCAAAGGAAAATCACAATGGTCTGTTTGACAATACCTGCTTCTCTTCTAATTAACCTCCTTGTGATTTCTTTTAAGAGGTTACGCAGGGGATGTTTCACTGAAGGTCATCTTTGTGAAAGAGGTAATATCTATCCATGTACAATTGTTCATTGCTAAATACTTCTTCCTTAGTTTAACCAATCTAAGATACTCCGGAGATCTCATTCGATTATTCAAAATCTTATAATTGTACATGGCGGCAAGCTTAAAATATAACAATTGAGATTCCCGGTTTCACCAAACTTTTCAAATATATAAACATTCCCACTTATATGAACAACTAACTTTTACAAAATACAAATCTCAAACAGAATATTTAATCGTCCAATTAATTGTATTTTGACCTCGATTATAATTTGGTTATATAATTAGAGAGTGCCATCTTTTGCAAAAACATGTCTATTGACACCCTCACATTATTTAAAGATAGATCACATTATTTCCAATAAAGTTTGAGTTATATTTTCTAGGTTTATGAATATATACGGGTTAGACCATCTTGAACATTTGTAGATCACATTACTTGCAGGTAATCCAATAACTGCGGTTAATTTAGTATATGACGTTTCAGAGCATGTTGAAATCTGGCATCTATTAGGTACGTATCCTACTCAGTTTGGAAAAGTCTCCATGTTGTATTTGTGTATTGATAGTTGATCTAGAAAAATATAGTTAAGGAAGACAATGTAAAACAAAAGCTCCATTATTTTAAAAAGTTGCCAGAAAAAGAAATGAAATAAATAGAAAACCAACTGTGTAGCAAAATAAAAACACATGGAGAACATAAGCTCGATCCTTATTGAAAACAATTAATTATTGGAGACTCTTCTGCATGCTACGCTTAACGTCAATTCTCGGTGAGTTGGTGGAGCTTAGCTTCGCTCTTATTTGCTTCGGGATGCTGGCTAATTAGTCCATCCGGATTGACCAGCTCTCTACTGGCCTCTGTAGGAAGTTGCTTGGGGCAATGCTTCTTCGAAGTGGAAGATCCGGCTGGGACACCATGCATTGATTCAAAATCACGCTTCGGTGATGGGGTTGAACCATCATCTGAAATGCTTTGGCTGTTACTCTTGACAACCGACAACTAAAACATAGGTGAGGATTCAAAGATTAATCAAAGTTCATATTATGTTCATTTCAATAAAAAATGGGTTTAACGTGAATGTAAGAGAACAGGGTGTGCTAACCTCCTCGCCAGATGCAATGGTCGAACCATTATCAATGGCAGTGAATGGTCCATCGCCAGATTCCGTGTCGAGAATGAGAAGTCCTTTCTTTACCTTATGCACCTTGTAGGTGTCATTTCCATACACAATGTGTTCCTTCTCGACACCGACCAGAAACTCGAAACTTTTTCCAACTAAACTCTTGACGTCATCGGGTATTAATTCTGGATCCTGAATCTGTTTTTTTCATAATAAATAGGCATCTCGTTAAAACGTGAGCTAGTATAACAGGAAACATATTATGCAGCTTCTGATAATGATATTACCTCATCGTATGATCCGTTTAGCAGGAAGGAAGCTGTTTTATCCACGATGCCATAAGCAACGGAATCAAGAAGCATAACCTTTGTTTTGGCCGAGTCATCCTCTACCAGAAGGTGCAGCTTGAACCTGCATATGCAAATATTCCATGTGATCACAATGGCAACTATTATATCTATACTGATGAACCAAAACTACATGAAAAATTTTGGAACTACTCACTTTGCTTCAACAGTTTTGACATTTGATTTGCATCTGTCACAGTACCACACGGGTGCTTTGGGGCGAGGTTTTGTGGCTCCTTCCTTCTTCAGATCCTTGGTGACCCTGAACTGGCACTTTCCACATCCGAAATAATACCAACCCCAGTCGGTATCAATTCCAGTCACTTTGACAGAAATCCTGAATTTCTCTATCTGCGAGGTATTACATTATTTTAGATAAGTAAATCACTATCAAATCGTTCAATCTATTTGTCTTCATATGAATGTGTTTACCTCAGTAGCATTCTGAATGTCATACACAGATTTCATTTCCAACGCCAGCCACGCATCTTCCTGCTCCTTTATCCTTTGCTTCTCAGCCTCTTCATCATCCTCTTGGATGACAACAATCGCACCGTCATCTGGCAAGCTGAAGGCATCAAGTACAGAAGGTTAGTTTTCTTCTTCATATATTGTGTAAATTACAAAACTTAGCAAAAATATAGTTTAGACATATTACTAACCCAATCCTGAAAGCATCTGCTTCTTCGCAAATAGGGTTGATGATAAGCTTAGATGCGTCAAAAGCATTAGTTACTTGCATATCACCTAATAGAAATGTTTCATATCTCAAAAATGTTTAAACGAAGTTGATTTGGTTGCAATCAGGTTGATATATAGTTGATGTATAAGCTTGCCTTGATAAAAGTTGAGTTTCGCAAATCTGATCAAACAAATTAATGTTTTCCCATTAGCTTTACTGCATGCCTCGTACAGTTGGTCAGCGTATCCGCCCAAAGACAGCAGTTGATTCTCTGATCACTGCAAAATTTATTAAGAAAATACTTAGATATAGGGAATATAACCACAGATTGAACTGATGATAAGTGTATATATACTTACTTAATGTCCCTAAGCACGCACTCTAGCTTCCGCTTTTCTCTCCCAAGTACAGGAACAGTTTTGATCTCACTCACATCAAGAACCTGTCCAATGACATCTGGAAAACATGTACACAAGTTCCCGATTGAATATGTAAGTTCTCTCATTTCAAGTCAGCAATTTAATAGTATACATCAGATGTAGATTGTAAGCACGGATAGATTACTTACCAATCAAGAAATTGTGATTCAAATCACCATCTAGGATCGTCTGGATAGGTACCAACGAAAGGAACATGTCGTCCACTTTGATGCTGCATGTGGTAACGATTGTGTTCATGGACAACCCAATCTTCCAGTTGCTTGGAGTTGGTCGAAATAGCCCGGTTGCAGGAGATACCTGAAAGTTCTCCAACACTTTCCATTCACCAACGACCAGAAGCTTTGATAAGCGGCCTATATCCTTCTTCTTAATTCCAGCATGCATTTTAGTACCCTGGAAATATAAGTATAGATACTTGTCATTATAACGCAAACTGAAACATACGATTAGCATTGAAATTTACATATAGGTTTTAAACTTACATGTTCATCCGCGAGAACCAGATCCATCGTTTCGCCGGACATGCCGCTGTACTGCCTCCAGGAGTGAATCACCTTAACGCGGACCTTCCAAGTTGTCTTGAAAGGTCGGACATCAGCAAGCTTGGCGAAGGCGCAACCAATAGTCATTTTTGCGAGGAGGAGGTAAAATAGATGTGTTTGATGTTTGATGACTTTAATGTGACAAAGGCTACATATTTATAATGTTTGGAGTTGTATCTTATGCCTAGGGCTTCGGAGGTTTCAGAATTGCTGCCCACGGCATATTCTCTTGGATTACAAATCTGTTGAGGTTGGAAAGATTCCCTAATCTATTAGTTTATCAATGTAATAATATCTGAAGTGATATCTCGTTTTGATTTCGTATATATTTTATTAACTGCAGGAGCATGTTATGGGATATCTCATTGATATGTCCCGAGGATGAAGGAATTCTTTTGTATGGTAGTTATTAGGACCTGTTCTTAGGTATGTTTTCCTTTACTGTGGGTTTTCGAATGATTTGAAAAGATTTCGTAAACGTCCAATAACGGATCCTTGAAACAGAGGGAAAATCTTTCGAATGTTCAGCTTCGTCCGGTTATTTGGCTCCGGTTTGATTTAAGTGTGGCTTAGATCCGCGTGTTTTTTTTGCGGGTCGGTCGAAGATCCGATGTCTGTCCCCTTTTGACACTTTCGACACTTTTTCTGCTTAAACCTGTTTCCAAACAGAGGGTCCGAAATATGTTCTGGACAGAAATGACCTCACTCCAAAAAAATTCTCCTTTGAAAAACGTGGGGGTAAATGGTCTTTTTAACAGGATCCGACCCGGTTTCCTTCTGGGTTATACTGAAAAATTCGGATAACTGGGATAATTTCTGTTTGGTGACAGGAATAACTCCAGCATGCACCCTTGATTGCTTCCATTTTAATAGTATAGATGTATTCTTTTCCTTCATCGTTATCGAACCTACCTAAAAAAGTTATGCCTTTTACCGGCGTATCGGATCTCCATTACTGGAGAACGGATTGGTGTATCAAGGTGAAAATTTATGAATAAGTGGATCAGAAGTGATGAAGAGTTCAGTGACTGCTTGGAGTTTATTTTGATTGACGATAGGGTGTCTTCTTTAAAAGATTTTTAGTAATCCGATTGCTTTCGTATTTATTTAGAATCATGCCTGCAAAAAGTATATAAACAAAAAATTATATTTTAATGATTTGTTATGTGTGTAGGATTGTAGGATCGAAGCCTAGGTTAAAAACCATCTCATTGTTCTGTTTTCAATGAGAGGTTAGCAGAGGGCAATTGTTTTGGAATATATGAGTTTATTGTGGAACATAATCTTACGTGGGGGAGAAGATACACCCCTAACCTTAATCGTATTTCGATTCTTAATCATATGTACGTTAGACCAGATACAAAACAGTCGAAGCCCAATTTCATGTCGTTCGTCGACTTTGAGAAACTGTTGAATGTAAACTTTGAAACATCCTTACCCATTGGTTAGTTCCTGAAAGTTTTGATTTGCGTATGCAAATATATATTTTATAGTTTTGGTATACATTACGATTGCCTAATATCGAGTATGATTTAATTCCAGACTAAATTGGTGCTCTTGAGTATCGTGGGTTCATGGAAAACAGGGATACAGTTGACAGTTCAAATTCGGACAGATTTCGTCTTCGTAATGCCAAGTAATTATTGTTGCCTCTTTCATCGTGTTTTGCTTTAAATTTTATAAACAAGACAACACATCTGATTTATGAATTTTTTTTGTGGTTTATGTATACACTGCAATGATGTGGGAAGCTTAGCTGAAGAGCTTAATAGGAAGTGGTGGTCACATATATTCGTGGAAGTTTAAGCTATACCAGACCGGAAGTCCAGATCGATGGAGTAGATTTTACATAATAGACATCGTGGAGGAGATTTCGTGCACTTCGTGCTACCTTGTTTGCCTTCATGTTTTTTGTCCTTGGTATGTGATGAATAGAAAATACAGTGAACCTCCTTTTGCATATGTCTATCTCGTCAAGAAGAATAAAAAAACGCCGGCCAGTCCTCTGGTTTAGACACCACGTCTGAGCAGCCTGTCTCGAAAACCACCTCTCTTTTGTTATAATGAATCATACACTGCATAGTTCAAATGAGTTGTCAGCGTGGAATTAAGAGTAATATTTCCTGTACCTGATATTACTATTTTTACTTCCTTTCGTTGTTATGAATCATACACTGCAAAGCCCAAATGATGCAGCAGGAAATAGCCAACTATAACATCATATAACCTGCATCGCGTCCTCACACCACACTAATCGTATAACAGTTAATCTAATTAATCGAAAGATGGACGAAATAATTTAACTTACGAAATACCAATTCATCGCCATAGTACTATCCTCCTGTTTTATTCGTATTGAAACAACCAGCTTTCTCTTTTTTTATATATATAATTAAATAACAATTCTAGTGGAAGTTTTTAAAAATAAATAATCATTAAACAAATCATCAATCAGGTTCAACAAATATATTAAACTAATAAACTAGCAACCTAAACGCCAGGTTAAACTAGCAACTTAAAACAATGCAAATAACAAAGTCCTATCATCCTCTACTGCGGCCTTGATTCCGTGTTCACATAAACCTTTTACCTGGAACACATTACGAAAGAGTTTCATAAGTATTATCATAAATACTTAGTGAGTGGATCACCCCACCTACATGCCAATTACATGAGACACAAGACAAACAAACATCAATAAACAACAAACAGTTGAACAACAACAACAATAATCATTTGTGTTGATCGACACCAAAGTGGTGTCAGTCTACACACGACCTCTAGTGTCAACCGACACCAACTCGGGAAAAATCCCCAAATCACGAAATCGACATACAAACACGAAATCACACGAAATCGATACCATATACAATACAACAAGAACACAACTCGAAAACAACACATAAACTCAACAAAAATCCAAATCTAGTGAATCACAAGCCTATGGTCACATACTCACCTCTAAAAATGGATTGAAAGGGGAAAGGGAGAAGAAGCAATGCAGAATAACAACAAACAGCTACAAATTCGCTCAAGACACCTCATAATCACCACAATCGCCTCTCTTCTTCTTCTTCTCTCAAGTTTCTCAGCCCCAAAAAAACAAACCACGGCTGCTCCACGACTTTTAATCACGAAATAGGGCTTCCCAACCCTAAATCGGACCGAACCAACCACTCAAATCGAACCGGATTCTATTTCAAATTGTTGTGTCGACTGACACACACCTTGTGTCGCTCGACACAACCTACAAAAGTTCACATATTGGGCTAAGGATATTACAACTCTCCCCCACTAAATTGGATTCGATCTCGAATCCTAACACAAAACATCTCTCAAGACCAAAACCCGACCTCACAAGGCCACAACACTGGAGATCCGCACATGATCCCCAAGACTGACATCCAATCCTATGTTATAAGCACGTCTCTAGACATCTGTACTCTTAACTCATCACCTCAAACCAGTTGTACTGGGGCACTACACCTAGACAAGTCTTCACCTACCCAAATTGGGGCCACTACACCCAGATGGGCTTGCCACCGCTGCTTATATTGGGACCACTACACCCAGATAAGTCAACCACGACTTATACCGAGGCCACTACACTCAGATAAGTCACTCATACTGAGGCCACTACACTCATATGAGTCTACTAGAGAACCACTGTCTCCAAAACTGTAATGAGTTATTCAGGACAGCAGCCCTTAGAGTAAAAATTCTAGAAGCGACTATGACAATAAGATTAGAACTGTCTCACGACCCAAATGGTCAAACACTTGTACCATCAAAAATACCACTTTAACAACACAAGACAAAACTTAACAACTGGAACCACAAAGACAAGAATATCACTCTACAACCTGCTTGTCGAACCACTTCCTGAATTTCAACTTCATCTTTGCTTCTGGCTCCCAAGTCTTCTCCTGTGAACAACTGAAATCCCACAAAACTCTCAGACAAGGGATCCCCTTCTTCTGCAGAACATTGTCTCTCCTCTCAAGAATCCTCACAGGCACTGCCGGAACTGTCAAGTCAGGCCTAAGATCCTCAGAAACCCTAGCCACTAACTCCTCTTAAGGGTGAAGACACTTCCTCAGCATTGACACATGAAACACCTTGTGAGAGGTTCTCATAATCTCACGTAACTCCAACATATATGCCAACGGTCCAACTCGCTCCACCACTGGAAACGGACCCATAAAACGCGGACTCAGCTTTTTCTCTGCTATGGATCTGTTAGGACCCCTCAACATAGCCATCTTGAGATACGCTATATCTCCAACCTGAACCTCAAGCTCTCGTATGCGTCTATCTGCAGAACTCTTCTATTTATACTGAGCCTCCTTCATGTTCAGCCTCACAACACAGACCTTCTCCGTCATCTCCAGAACATAACTAGCTCCATACATGCTACGCTCCCCCACTTGGGTCAAACACAAAGTTCGATCTTTATTAGAAGCAAATGACTTTCGGAGACTCTCTTCTGCATGCTTTCCTTAATGAATTATTTGTTCAGCTTTTGGAGCAAAAATGCTTCGCTTGGACTTGAGATGGAATGCTGGGTATTTAGTCCATCGGGATTGAACAAGTCTTTATTGTCCTCCAACGGCAGTTGCTCTGTGCAAGGTTTCTTCGAAGTGTAAGACAGGGCTGGGACACTTTGCATTGATTCAAAGCCACGCTTGGAGGATGGAAAGGTACGGAAAGGTAATTGTTGTGTTCAACGCAATCTCAGTCGCTGAAGGTACCATGAATGTAAGAAATCATAGTGTGTTTACCTCCTCGTAAGACCCAATGGTTGAACCATTATTAATGGCAGTGAGTTGTTCATCACCAGTTTCTGTGTCGAGAATGAGAAGTTCCTTACTTTGTGCACCTTGTAGGTTTTATTTCCGTAATGAATGTGTTCCTTCTCCACACCAACCAGAAACTGATCACAGGATTTGGATGTGATATGAAATCAAATGTGATTATGATATGTAATGGATGCAAGTGAAGATGGAATAAGAATGAGATGGTATGGTGCAATCACAGTCAATCAATTCCTCTTAATCATCATAGTCAGAGTAGTATAAGAGGTTATCAATCCAAATGGTTTTGTTGTCACTCTATGAGAATATGCAAACACAAGAAAGTCAAGCAAAATAGTAAAATGATGATGGAAGTAACTCTAACAACCTAAAATCAAATGAAAGTGCAATGAAACAGTAATGCAAATATGAAACAAGCTATGATGCATGAAAAAAACAAGAAACAAGCAACTGCAAGCAGCTCGACCTAGAGCTCGATCGAGTAGAAACAGAGCATTACAGCTCGATCGAGTTGAGGGTCGAGTTAGTGTAAAAACAGAGGAATGCGAATGCAAAATGATAAAGGTGCAAACTTTAAGCTACTAAGATGAAGATTAGGGCTAAAGACAGGGTTTTGCAGCTAGAGGGAGCTATACTTAATCAATCTTGCTCTTAAACAACTTGTACTCAAGCTATCTCTTGGTATTGAACTTCTTAGCCTAGCTAACCCTTTCCCAAGGTGAAAGCTATCATCCAAGGCAAGATCTCAGAAACAGGGGGTCAGCCAGTGAGATCAAGCCTTGAGGCCTTAGAACCTTTGTTCAAACTCACCCATTCAACACCTATAAACCCATTTCGTGAGGCAAGCATGTTGAAGCTCTTAGTGGACTTGTTCAAGCGATTTCCCATTCATTCCCATGAGGAAAATCGCCTAGACTCATACACACCATGGATAGTGGTTGTGCAGCCTTAAGCTTAGCCCAAAAGAGAGAGATTTTAGATTAAGAACATAAAGCAAGAGAGATTAAGCATAAACAACCTCTAACCTATCCCATCTTAAACCCTAAAGAGAACTACTCACTACACATGCGAAATACATAATAAATGCAATGAATGAGACATTAAAAGATAGAGGAGATGAAGATAAACAACTTTTATTGAAATAGACAAGTGCAAAATACAAAGATAAGCCTAGATCTAAGGTTCAAGAGCAAGAGCTCAAGAACACAAAGAGAGGCTAAAGTAAAAAGGAAATCAAATTACAAGATTAAAAAAAGCTAAAATAAAAAGCAAAAGAAGAGTTGTCTTTTTCGTGGCTACAAGCCTTTAAATAGAAAAGATTAGGTTTAGGGTCAAAGGAGAAGTCAACATTTTTTGGGTTCTTGATCCGCAGCTCGATCGAGTTGGTCTTGGCCGGTCGAGCTAGTGAAAGTTGGATTTGGCCTAGCTCGACCAGTTGGTCGCGCGGGTTGGTCGAGCTGGCTTCAAGGCGGCTTCTTCTTCACTCCGAGCATGCGCGGTCAAGCTGAGCTCCAAGCACAATGTCCTTCCTTGCTCCTCACGTCCCAAGTGCTCCATAGTGCTCCAAATAGACCTGTTTAAGGATCAAACATGCACATGTATGCAAATGCAACCTAAAACTACAATGTATGCATAAGAAAGGAAAAGGAACAAGATATGATGCTAATGAATGCTAAAACTATGTAAAAGATGCATAAAAGATGTACTAAAACTATGTAAAATGCAAGTACATTAGAAACTCGTAGTTGTTTCCAACTAAGCTCTTGATGGCATCAGGTAATAAGTCTGGATCTTAAATCTGTTTTCAAATAATAGATACGGTTCTAGTAAAAAGATGACTATGTTCAAAACTATATTTGTTAGTTTCAGATTATGATATTACCTCATCATAGGATCCGTTTAGCAGAAATGATGCTGTCTTTGTGATGGTGAATGTTTGTGCGTGTGTATGTGAAAAGAAGTGAAATGAGATGAGTGGAATGCAATCAGTGGTAAATGATGGTGGTAAGATGCAAACACAAACACAGTCAACAATTCCTCTTAACCATCATAGTCATTGAAGTATAAGAGGTTATCAATCCAAAATGGGAAACTTGTCACTCTATGAGAATATGAAACAACCAGAAAGTCAAGCAAGCAGTATAGATTTTAAGTAACACTAACAACCTAAGAAATGAAATGCAGTGCAATAAAAGTAAACAAAGCAGTAAACAAGTAGCTCGACCAAGGACTCGAGTCGAGTTGGGAACAGAGTACCGAGCTCGATCGAGTTTAGGGTCGAGTTGAGTAAAAAGCAGTAAAGGTGACGACTTTAACAAGATAAAGAGAGAATTAGGGTTCAAGACAGGGTTTTGCAATCAAAGGAATCTACACTTAATCAATCTAGCTCTTAAAACTCCTTGTATCAAGGCTTCTCTTGATATTGGGCTTCTCAATGCCTAGCCAACCCTTTCCCAAGGTGGAGGCTATCAACCAAGGAATGATCTCAGAAACAGGGGGTTAGCCAGTGAGAATCAAACCTTGGAGGCCATAGGATCATTGCCCAAACTAATCCATCCAACCCCTTAGACCTCTATTTCTAGAGCAAGAGATATTGGAGCTCTTAGTGGATCTTTTCCAGCGAATGCCATCACTTCCGTGTGGGGAATCGCCTAAGGACTTACAAGCCAGGGGTAGTGGTCATGTAGCCTTAAGATCTATCCAAAAGAGAGAGAATCTAGATTAAGACCATAAGCTAGAGAGGATTAAGCATATGAAACCTCTAATCTATCCCATCTCAAACCCTAATGGGTAACTACTCACTACACATGAATGTAAACACAAGCAAATGCAATGAAAAGACATCATAAGAAAGAGGAGATGAAATTAAACAACTTTTATTGAAATAAGCAAGTGCAAATACAAAGAGATTAATCCAGGATCTAAGATTCAAGAAGCAAGAGCTTCAAGAACACAAAGATGGGATTAGATTCTAAAAAGTAAAGACAATAAATTAAAAGAAACTAAAACAAAGTAATCTAAAGCTTTGGTTTTTTCGTGGCTTAGAGCCTTTAAATACAAGAGGATTAGGTTTAGGGTCAAAGGAAAGTCAAGGGGGAAGCAACATTTTTCGGGTTTGACTTTGACTTCCAGCTCGATCGAGTTGAAGCTTGGCCGGTCGAGTTGAGGAACTCGACCGGTTGGTCGAGTGGACGGTCGAGCTGGTCTTCAAGATGGCTTCTCCCTTCTTCCTTTGCGTATCCAGTTGAGCTGCTTCCATGTGCCAAGTCCCTCCATGCTCCTTATGTCCCATATGCTCCAGAATGCTCCAAAAGACCTATTTCAAAGGACCAAACATGCATATGTATGCAAATGCAACCTAAAACTAACATGAATGCATAAGAAGAGAAAAGGAACAAGATATGATGCAAATGGAAGCTAAAACTATGCAAAAGATGCATAAAAGATGTGCTAAAACTATGTAAAATGCAAGTACATCAACACCCCCAAACTTGAACTTTGCTTGCCCTCAAGCAAACAAATAGAACAAGAAAGAGATGAGGTTTGAAAATAGCTGATTCAACACTTAAAAACATGTCCTCAAAAGCGATTTGCTAAATGTCCAACTTAGAGATTCTAGAATGCAACAAGGTGAGAGATATTCATTAAGATTTAACCATGCTTATCAACATCAATCCCACTTCACAGTCACTCAAACAATGCATTCAAATCAGCAAATCCCTTTAACATTCATTAAGCAAAAACAGTGAACCAAAAACATGCAAGATCAATCAACTCATTTGGTTTCAAGGGTTTATGGGTTAAGAGACAAAGAGGGTCTCTTTTGTATGGTGGTTTAGTAACAGGGATCTCTCAAGAAAGTGGCTTTGCTTTGGCAGAAGGCTAAGTGTTAGAACCAAGATGATGCAAGAACAGCAGCTCGAGCCGCCTAATCCTAACTCGATCGAGTTCAACACTTAGAGCTTTTTAGAACAAAATCCTAACTACCCTTTTTGGCATTTCGCCTTTGAAACTGAGGAGCTTTGCTCACTTTTCTTTTAAGAACTTCCTAGGGAGAGGCTTCTTGAGGTAACATCTAGCGGTTTGGGATTTTCTAAACACTTAGGGAACTTTTCTTCCTTTTTTACACTTGAGGCTTTGCCTTCTTTTCATTCTACTTAGAACCCTTTTTACTTCCTTTTTTAACTTCCCAAACCTTTACTAGACCCTTTTTAACACTGCCAACTCCCTGGACTTAACCAAACTCTTTTTCTTTGGGTTTTTCCCAATTTTTACCACTTTTCTGGTTTTTACACCCAACTCGATCGAGCTCGAGTTGGCACCCCCAAACTTAGCCTGAAAACAATCCCAAGAGAACTAGACAACTAGAACTACTAAACACAACACCTTATGCTAAGCAAAGCCAAGAAAGGTTCTCACATTCGCACAAGAGATAATAAGGGGTTTGAAATGAAAAGGCTTAGGTTTAAGGTGTGGTAACTGTCTCAAAGATAGAGATCAGCTATCTGGACAAGCAAAAGGGATATGAAAGGTAAAGAATGTCCAGATATGTATGTGGTAGCCATGAGTTGAAATCAAATGCAAGCATTGGTAATTAAAGATCAAGTTATGGTTCAAATAGATAGGGAAATGCATCAAATCACAGCAATGGTTGAATGAGATGTGCATGCAGCGATATGATCAAGATAAACATGGTTCTTGCTGCTCAATCAATCTCACCCTAATGCACAAAAGAATCTAAAAACAGGGCACTCAAGAAATCGCAAAAGATGGACAAGTTTTCAAAGTCAAATCAACAATGCAAGTGAAAAATGCAATCCTAAACAAGTCTAACAAATATGAATGCAAAAAGATGAAAATATTTTTGGATTTTTTGAAAATTTTATGATTTTTTTGGTTTTTCTATGCAAAAGATAAATGAAAAACTAAGAACAAAGAAAACAAGGTTAAATCATCTCTTGAACCCTCCCCCAAACTTAAATCACACAGTCCCTTGTGTGAGAAAAATTTAGTGAAAGATTCAAGAGGGCAAAACCAAGAAAAAACAAGAACAAAGCAAGAAAATATGAAATGGTATATACAAGGGATGGTGTTTGGATACCTCAGTGCCCCCCAAAGAACTGGGAGGCTAGGTCGTGGTCTGGAGATGGGAGACGGCCATCAGGAGCGCTCCACTCAACTGGGTTCGGCTCACTCGATCGAGCTTGTGGCTCCTCTCCTCTTCTTCTTCATCTTCAAAGTGGGTGTGGCTTCCTTGGCCTTGGTGGAGTTGTGCTCGCTCGAAGCGGTTGTAGGGAGTCCAGGGTCTGAGAGAAGTCCTGGTACTGGGTTGAATCGTACTCGAATCCCAGGGTCTCAAACAGGGGCTCCTCCAGGTCAACTCGACCGTCAGCTCGATCGAGTTGAGTTTCCTCTGTTTGGACTCGATCGAGTCCGGTGGTCGAGCTGGAGCGTCTGGCCTTGGAACTCTTCCTCCTTCTCTGCGTGTTGTCCTCTCCTTCTCTTGGCTCGAAAGAAGAGGCTCTGTGAGGCTCTTGGGCAGGGAGCCTTCTTTGGGTGGTGAGGAGTGACCTACTCCTAGGGAATGTGGGGGCCTTGGACTTCTTCTTGCTTGAAGAACCAGAAACCTTCTTCTCCAAACTTTTGATCTTGCTCACCATCTTGTCCATGGACTTTTGCATCTTCTCAATGGCTTTCCCTTGCCATTTGTTGAACTTTTGGAGAAGTCCAATCCTCTTGTGGGCAGCCACAACAGAGGGGTTCATCCTTGGAGCCTCATACTCCTCAAAGTAGTAGCACTCAGGCTCACCCAAATCAGCGCTCCCTGGACCTGATATTCAGCTCGATCCTCAGCTCGACCTCAGCTCGATCGAGCTCAGGCTCCTCTTCTCGCAATCATCCTCATGCCCAACTAATGTGTACACAGGGGGTCTGAAAATCAATGTTCTCACCCCTTACAACTGTGGTGAGCTCTGGGTTAGGCAGGAGAAACTTGGAGGGTCCAACCAATGGATGTGTGAACTTGAATTGGAACCTCCCATCCAACTCCTTGTGCTCAATGAGGAGGTTGGTCTTGCAGAACTTGATGTCCATCCAACCTGGTTCAGTAGCTCTCCTATCAGTTGGGTTTACTCCAGCAGCACACAAGATAGGTGTGATGAGCCCTCCAATACTAAGCTTTCTTCCTCTTTGGTGCCTAGTGTTGTAAGCTGTGATCTTGTAGGTGAGGAGGTGGTCAAGGAAAGGCATCAAGTTCCCTGTGTCAGATCTATCTCCCCTTATCCTCTTGCCATCGCTTGTGCGTGAGAGAAGGGGCTTGATTCCCATGTCAAGAAACTTGAGTTCCCCCTCGTTGATTGTCCCGGTTGCCTTCCTTGCAAAGAAGGTGTTGGCAAGTGCCTTGTGCACATATCTCAAGACTGGGCTCCTGATCTGAGCTGCCTTGGACCTTGAGGAAGAGTACACTCCATCAGCGATTGTAGCCCAAACCCTTTGGAGTTCCTTTTCCTTGAAGTTCCACTTGGTTCCCTCTCCATAGTTGAACCCAAACAAGATCTCCAACTGCCTAAAGGTCACCATTCTCTTCTCTCCCTTAGCCAAGAACGTGATCCATCCCAATCCTTGGTCCAAATCAGCTCTATCTTCTTCCTCATACATGTGGTACCTCATTGAAGCTAGGAACTCGCAAGTGAGCTCCTTGTAGGATTCCATGTGGTAGGAGAAAGCTTGGCCAAGTGCATGTTCTTGAGGACCAACTCCACATCTTCAAAGATTCCAAGGGCCTTCATGGTGTCAACATGTGGGTACTTGGTGTCCATGAAGTCCATGGAGAAAAGAGCATCATAGTGCTCTTGGTACATGGGGAGCTCATCCTCTTCTTCACTTGACTCCTCCTCTTCCATGGGCACATTCTCATTGCCCTCATGCTCACTCTCCTCAATCTCTTGATTGATCTCTTCACCCTCTTCTTCACTTGGGAGTCATCATTCTCCTCATGTGGGATGTTCACCCCAATTTCAAACTCTCCTGCTTCGCTCTCACTGCTGAGAGGATCATTCCTTCTTTTGGTTCTCCTTTCCTTCCCTCACCCTCTCAACCTCTTCTATGTCCTCCTTGGTTTGTGTTTTGAGTATCCTCCTTGCTCCTCTTATCATCTCCATCCTTGTGAACGCTGCTTGCTTCCTTCACCTCTCAACATCTTAGATTGGTCCCTGAAATGCATCAAAAGTTCAATAGAATTAGAGTTGTAATGATCGGTTTGGTCAACTCGACACTCAGCTCGATCGAGTCAAAAAACTCGAGTGACAAACTCGATCGAGTTGGGTGAAAGCAGAGTATAACCAAACCTAATTCATGTATTAAGAGCAGGAAAGGATGCTAATCAATCAAATTGAACCAAGAACAACTAGTAAATGGAACAATAAGCAATTCTAGTGAAAAACATAGCAACCTAACCATTACCAAACTCAAATTCAACCTTTCAATCACATGCAACAAGTTTAAAGGCAAAACAGAGGTGAGGTGAAGCAAAACTAACAAGTTACAGCAGAGGCGAAAATGAAAGCAAATTCTCAATAACAAGTCCACAAGGGACACATGCAATCAAAAATCAAGAGAAACAAGCAATAAGGAAATCGAGATGGAGGAATCAAGGGTTTTAGGGTTCATACCTTGTTGAATGATGGAATTGAAGAGCAGTAAACTAGAAACCCAAGCAAAACAAGAAAGAAACAAGAAATCGCAAAAACTTAAGAGAGAAAGAGAGAAATTCGAAATTTCTTGTGGTGAAGAGAGAGAGGATGAGTTTCAGAAATTTTAAGTTGTGGGGAGAGAGGAATGTGGGTTCGATCGAGTTATGGGGAAGAGAGTGTTTGAGATGTGTGGTTGAGATTAAAAGATGGGATAAAGAGGGAACAAGAAACTAGGGATTCTCTGATCGAATTAGGGTAGTGGGGGACCCACTCCCTTGACCAAAAAACGGTTATGAATTTGAAATTCAAAAACTTACCTTGGTCGAGTTGTGTAGCTCGATCGAGTTGCCCTGGTTTCTAGCTCGATCGAGCTCGTGGGTCGAGCTGGCTCCTTGACACCTAAACTTAACTTATTGAAAGGTTAAAAACATAAAGATAGATAGAAATTGCATAAATAGAGTATGTACAAGGATAAACATGGGACTTCCTCCCAAGTGAGCTTGTTTAAGGTCCCATAGCTTGACCTTTACCTTCTTAGGCATTGGTTGAGCTAGTCCCACCATCAAGGGTGATAGTGAGGACTTGAGACAGAAGCTCCTTTAGCTTGGTTGGGTCCCTGGACTGTTCTGAAGTCACCAAGGCCTTGGCTCTAGAGAATGGCCTTGATCTCCCCTTGTACCTTATCTTGTACTCAATCTTCCCATTTTCAAACTTGGTGGGGAACAAAGTCATTGTGAGCTGAGATGGCTTGACTGAAGGGGCCTGAGCTGGTGGATCCTTTCTTTTATCTCCTGGTCTTGCCTTAGAGGCTGCATCCTCCCCTTCTTTTAGAGCCCTTCCTAGTGGCTCATCAAACAAAGCTTGAAGGCTCTCTTCATCAAGCACACAAGGGGCTTGAACAAGTCGCTCAGCTCTTGGCCTATCAGATCGTGGTTTCTCAACTCTAGCCCTCTCAAGACGTGGCTTCTCAATCCTTGGTCCTCTCTCATCCTTATCCTTCCCAACTCTTGGTTCCTTGTCAACCCTTTCCTTCACAACCTTTGTAGCTCCATGACTCTTAGAACTGAGATTGGTACTGTCAATTGTGGCACAAAAGTCTGAACCTCTAGGCTGCAAGCGATATGACACCAAACTATTCACCTTGTGAAGGATCACTTCTTGCTTGTGAAAGTCAATTGAAGCGCCAACTGTACTAAGGAAAGGGGTTCCCAATAGCAAAGGCAAATCCTTCTCTTCTTCCATTTCCATCACAGTGAGATCAGTTTGGATGATGCATTCTCCAATTTTCAAGTGATAGTTCTTGAACACTCCAAGAGGAGACTTAGTAGTTGCATCTCCAAAGATGATTGAAGTAGTAGGGCGCTGCAAGGCTCCAGCTATGCCTAGCTTCTCTGCCATGGAGAGAGAGATCAGATTGATGCTTGCTCCAGAATCCACTAAGGCATTGTCAATCTCAAGATGCCCAAGTGTGCAAGGGAGAGTGAATTTCCCTTGATCCTTGACCTTTGGTAGGAAGGTGGGTGAAGTAAGCAGGTTGAACTGATGAGTAGACTCTTGTAGGACCTCTGAAACTTTATCACTGTTGGCAGAACATCCTTGACCATTTGCATTTGATCAAATGCCTCACTCATGCTATCCATAGAGGCAACTCAATTCCAATCCCACTGAGATCTCTTCTGAACTTGTGAATCACTTCCTTGTGACCTTGACTAAGTAGGCGAGACGAGGAAGCGGCAACCTGGTTGATAAGGATCAAGCAAAACAGGCTGTCGGACAGAAGAGGTCGGACTCGATCGAGCTAGAGTTGGACTCGATCGAGCTGCCGATCGAGCTTGTCGTGCGAGCTCAACTGGTGAAGTGTGAATGGCCACAGTAGGTGCATGCACTTCTGGTTGATCAATCTGGACTCCAGGAGCCTCAGCAGCAACAATCTCTTCATCATTCAGCAGTAACACAANGGACTCGAGTCGAGTTGGGACAGAGCACCAGCTCGATCGAGTTTAGGGACGAGTTGAGAAAAAAAGCTAAAGGTGACGACTTTAACAAGATAAAGAGAGAATTAGGGTTCAAGACAGGGTTTTGCAATCAAAGGAATCTACACTTAATCAATCTAGCTCTTAAAACTCCTTGTATCAAGGCTTCTCTTGATATTGGGCTTCTCAATGCCTAGCCAACCCTTTCCCAAGGTGGAGGCTATCAACCAAGGAATGATCTCAGAAACAGGGGGTTAGCCAGTGAGAATCAAACCTTGGAGGCTATAGGATCATTGCCCAAACTAATCCATCCAACCCCTTAGACCTCTATTGTCTAGAGCAAGAGATATTGGAGCTCTTAGTGGATCTTTTCCAGCGAATGCCATCACTTTCGTGTGGGGAGTCGCCTAAGGACTTACAAGCCAGGGGTAGTGGTCATGTAGCCTTAAGATCTATCCAAAAGAGAGAGAATCTAGATTAAGACCATAAGCTAGAAGGATTAAGCATATGAAACCTCTAATCTATCCCATCTCAAACCCTAATGGGTAACTACTCACTACACATGAATGTAAACACAAGCAAATGCAATAAAAGAGACATCATAAGAAAGAGGAGATGAAATTAAACAACTTTTATTGAAATAAGCAAGTGCAAATACAAGAGAGATTATCCAGGATCTAAGATTCAAGAAGCAAGAGCTTCAAGAACACAAAGATGGATTAGATCTCTAAAAAGTAAAAGACAATAAATTAAAGAAACTAAAACAAAAGTAATCTAAAGCTTGGTGGTTTTTTCGTGGCTTAGAGCCTTTAAATACAAAGAGGATTAGGTTTAGGGTCAAAGGAAAGTCAAGGGGGAAGCAACATTTTTCGGGTTTGACTTTGACTTCCAGCTCGATCGAGTTGAAGCTTGGCCGGTCGAGTTGAGGAACTCGACCGGTTGGTCGAGTGGACGGTCGAGCTGGTCTTCAAGATGGCTTCTCCCTTCTTCCTTTGCGTATCCAGTTGAGCTGCTTCCATGTGCCAAGTCCCTCCATGCTCCTTATGTCCCATATGCTCCAGAATGCTCCAAAAGACCTATTTCAAAGGACCAAACATGCATATGTATGCAAATGCAACCTAAAACTAACATGAATGCATAAGAAGAGAAAAGGAACAAGATATGATGCAAATGGAAGCTAAAACTATGCAAAAGATGCATAAAAGATGTGCTAAAACTATGTAAAATGCAAGTACATCAACACCCCCAAACTTGAACTTTGCTTGCCCTCAAGCAAACAAATAGAACAAGAAAGAGATGAGGTTTGAAAAAGCTGATTCAACACTTAAAAACATGTCCTCAAAAGCGATTTGCTAAATGTCCAACTTAGAGATTCTAGAATGCAACAAGGTGAGAGATATTCATTAAGATTTAACCATGCTTATCAACATCAATCCCACTTCACAGTCACTCAAACAATGCATTCAAATCAGCAAATCCCTTTAACATTCATTAAGCAAAAACAGTGAACCAAAAACATGCAAGATCAATCAACTCATTTGGTTTCAAGGGTTTATGGGTTAAGAGACAAAGAGGGTCTCTTTTGTATGGTGGTTTAGTAACAGGGATCTCTCAAGAAAGTGGCTTTGCTTTGGCAGAAGGCTAAGTGTTAGAACCAAAGATGATGCAAGAACAGCAGCTCGAGCCGCCTAATCCTAACTCGATCGAGTTCAACACTTAGAGCTTTTTAGAACAAAATCCTAACTACCCTTTTTGGCATTTCGCCTTTGAAACTGAGGAGCTTTGCTCACTTTTCTTTTAAGAACTTCCTAGGGAGAGGCTTCTTGAGGTAACATCTAGCGGTTTGGGATTTTCTAAACACTTAGGGAACTTTTCTTCCTTTTTGACACTTGAGGCTTTGCCTTCTTTTCATTCTACTTAGAACCCTTTTTACTTCCTTTTTTAACTTCCCAAACCTTTACTAGACCCTTTTAACACTGCCAACTCCCTGGACTTAACCAAACTCTTTTTCCTTTGGGTTTTTCCCAACTTTTACCACTTTTCTGGTTTTTACACCCAACTCGATCGAGCTCGAGTTGGCACCCCCAAACTTAGCCTGAAAACAATCCCAAGAGAACTAGACAACTAGAACTACTGCCCCTGCCGGTTTAAACACAACACCTTATGCTAAGCAAAGCCAAGAAAGGTTCTCACATTCGCACAAGAGATAATAATGGGGTTTGAAATGAAAAGGCTTAGGTTTAAGGTGTGGTAACTGTCTCAAAGATAGAGATCAGCTATCTGGACAAGCAAAAGGGATATGAAAAGGTGAAAGAATGTCCAGATATGTATGTGGTAGCCATGAGTTGAAATCAAATGCAAGCATTGGTAATTAAAGATCAAGTTATGGTTCAAATAGATAGGGAAATGCATCAAATCACAGCAATGGTTGAATGAGATGTGCATGCAGCGATATGATCAAGATAAACATGGTTCTTGCTGCTCAATCAATCTCACCCTAATGCACAAAAGAATCTAAAAACAGGGCACTCAAGAAATCGCAAAAGATGGACAAGTTTTCAAAGTCAAATCAACAATGCAAGTGAAAAATGCAATCCTAAACAAGTCTAACAAATATGAATGCAAAAAGATGAAAATATTTTTGGATTTTTTGAAAATTTTATGATTTTTTTGGTTTTTCTATGCAAAAGATAAATGAAAAACTAAGAACAAAGAAAACAAGGTTAAATCATCTCTTGAACCCTCCCCCAAACTTAAATCACACAGTCCCTTGTGTGAGAAAAATTAGTGAAAGATTCAAGAGGGCAAAACCAAGAAAAAACAAGAACAAAGCAAGAAAATATGAAATGGTATATACAAGGGTTGGTGTTTGGATACCTCAGTGCCCCCCAAAGAACTGGGAGGCTAGGTCGTGGTCTGGAGATGGGAGACGGCCATCAGGAGCACTCCACTCAACTGGGTTCGGCTCACTCGATCGAGCTTGTGGCTCCTCTTCCTCTCTTCTTCATCTTCAAAGTGTGTGTGGCTTCCTTGGCCTTGGTGGAGTTGTGCTCGCTCGAAGCGGTTGTAGGGAGTCCAGAGGTCTGAGAGAAGTCCTGGTACTGGGTTGATCGTACTCGAATCCCAGGGTTCTCAAACAGGGGCTCCTCCAGGTCAACTCGACCCTCAGCTCGATCGAGTTGAGTTTCCTCTGTTTGGACTCGATCGAGTCCGGTGGTCGAGCTGGAGCGTCTGGCCTTGGAACTCTTCCTCCTTCTCTGCGTGTTGTCTCTCCTTCCCTTGGCTCGAAAGAGAGGCTCTGTGAGGCTCTTGGGCAGGGAGCCTCTTTGGAGTGGTGAGGAGTGATCTACTCCTAGGGAAGTGGGGCCTTGGACTTCTTCTTGCTTGAAGAACCAGAAACCTTCTTCTCCAAACTTTTGATCTTGCTCACCATCTTGTCCATGGACTTTTGCATCTTCTCATGGCTTTCCCTTGCCATTTGTTGAACTTTTGGAGAAGTCCAATCCTCTTGTGGGCAGCCACAACAGAGGGGTTCATCCTTGGAGCCTCATACTCCTCAAAGTAGTAGCACTCAGGCTCACCCAAATCAGCGCTCCTGGACCTGATATTCAGCTCGATCCTCAGCTCGATCCTCAGCTCGATCGAGCTCAGGCTCCTCTTCTCGCAAATCATCCTCATGCCCAACTAATGTGTACACAGGGGGTCTGAAGTCAATGTTCTCACCCCTACAACTGTGGTGAGCTCTGGGTTAGGCAGGAGAAGCTTGGAGGGTCCAGCCAATGGATGTGTGAACTTGAATTGGAACCTCCCATCCAACTCCTTGTGCTCAATGAGGAGGTTGGTCTTGCAAAACTTGATGTCCATCCAACCTGGTTCAGTAGCTCTCTATCAGTTGGGTTTACTCCAGCAGCACACAAGATAGGTGTGATGAGCCCTCCAATACTAAGCTTTCTTCCTCTTTGGTGCCTAGTGTTGTAAGCTGTGATCTTGTAGGTGAGGAGGTGGTCAAGGAAGGCATCAAGTTCCCTGTGTCAGATCTATCTCCCCTGATCCTCTTGCCATCGCTTGTGCGTGAGAGAATGGGCTTGATTCCCATGTCAAGAAACTTGAGTTCCCCCTCGTTGATTGTCCCGGTGCCTTCCTTGCAAAGAAGGTGTTGGCAAGTGCCTTGTGCACATATCTCAAGACTGGGCTCCTGATCTGAGCTGCCTTGGACCTTGAGGAAGAGTACACTCCATCAGCGATTGTAGCCCAAACCCTTTGGAGTTCCTTTTCCTTGAAGTTCCACTTGGTTCCCTCTCCATAGTTGAACCCAAACAAGATCTCCAAGCTGCCTAAAGGTCACCATTCTCTTCTCTCCCTTAGCCAAGAACGTGATCCATCCCAACCTTGGTCCAAATCAGCTCTATCTTCTCCTCATACATGTGGTACCTCATTGAAGCTAGAACTCACAAGTGAGCTCCTTGTAGGATTCCATGTGGTAGAGAAAGCTTGGCCAAGTGCATGTTCTTGAGACCAACTCCACATCTCAAAGATTCCAAGGGCCTTCATGGTGTCAACATGTGGGTACTTGGTCTCCATGAAGTCCATGGAGAAAGAGCATCATAGTGCTCTTGGTACATGGGGAGCTCATCCTCTTCTTCCTTGACTCCTCCTCTTCCATGGGCACATTCTCATTGCCCTCATGCTCACTCTCCTCAATCTCTTGATTGATCTCTTCACCCTCTTCTTCACTTGGGGAGTCATCATTCTCCTCATGTGGGATGTTCACCCAATTTCAAACTCTCCTGCTTCGCTCTCACTGCTGAGAGGATCATTCCTTCTTTTGGTTCTCCTTTCCTTCCCTCACCCTCTCAACCTCTTCTATGTCCTCCTTGGTTTGTGTTTTGAGTATCCTCCTTGCTCCTCTTATCATCTCCTCCTTGTGAACGCTGCTTGCTTCCTTCACCTCTCAACATCTTAGATTGGTTCCCTGAAATGCATCAAAAACTCAAAGAATTAGAGTTGTAATGATCGGTTCGGTCAACTCGACACTCAGCTCGATCGAGTCAAAAAACTCGAGTGACAAACTCGATCGAGTTAGGTGAAAACAGAGTATAACCAAACCTAATTCATGTATTAAGAGCTGGAAAGGATGCTAATCAATCAAATTGAACCAAGAACAACTAGTAAATGGAACAATAAGCAATTCTAGTGAAAAACATAGCAACCTAACCATTACCAAACTCAAATTCAACCTTTCAAGCACATGCAACAAGTTTAAGGCAAAACAGAGGTGAGGTGAAGGCAAATTAACAAGTATACATGGCAGAGGCGAAAATGAAAGCAATTCTCAATAACAAGTCCACAAGGGACACATGCAATCAAAAATCAAGAGAAAACAAGCAAAAGGAATCGAGATGAGGATCAAGGGTTTTAGGGTTCATACCTTGCTTGAATGATGGAATTGAAGAGCAGTAAACAGAACAAGCAAAACAAGATGAACATGAAATCGCAAAAACTTAAGAGAGAAAGAGATTGAAATCGATTTTTCTTGTGGTGAAGAGAGAGATGGATGATTTCAGAAATTTTTATGAGTGTGGGAGAGAGGAAGTGGGTTCGATCGAGTTATGGGGAAGAGAGTGTTTGAGATGTGTGGTTGAGATTAAAAGATGGGAAATAAAGAGGGAACAAGAAACTAGGGATTCTCTGATCGAATTAGGGTAGTGTGGGACCCACTCCCTTGACCAAAAAACGGTTATGAATTTGAAATTCAAAAACTTACCTTGGTCGAGTTGAACTCGATCGAGTTGCCCTGGTTTCTAGCTCGATCGAGCTGGGTCGAGCTGGCTCCTTGACACCTAAACTTAACTTATTGAAAGGTTAAAAACATAAAGATAGATAGAAATTGCATAAATAGAGTATGTACAAGGATAAACATGGGACTTCCTCCCAAGTGAGCTTGTTTAAGGTCCCATAGCTTGACCTTTACCTTCTTAGGCATTGGTTGAGCTAGTCCCACCATCAAGGGTGATAGTGAGGACTTGAGACAGAAGCTCCTTTAGCTTGGTTGGGTCCCTGGACTGTTCTGAAGTCACCAAGGCCTTGGCTCTAGAGAATGGCCTTGATCTCCCCTTGTACCTTATCTTGTACTCAATCTTCCCATTTTCAAACTTGGTGGGGAACAAGGTCATTGTGAGCTGAGATGGCTTGACTGAAGGGGCCTGAGCTGGTGGATCCTTTCTTTTATCTCCTGGTCTTGCCTTAGAGGCTGCATCCTCCCCTTCTTGTAGAGCCCTTCCTAGTGGCTCATCAAACAAAGCTTGAAGGCTCTCTTCATCAAGCACACAAGGGGCTTGAACAAGTCGCTCAGCTCTTGGCCTATCAGATCGTGGTTTCTCAACTCTAGCCCTCTCAAGACGTGGCTTCTCAATCCTTGGTCCTCTCTCATCCTTATCCTTCCCAACTCTTGGTTCCTTGTCAACCCTTTCCTTCACAACCTTTGTAGCTCCATGACTCTTAGAACTGAGATTGGTACTGTCAATTGTGGCACAAAAGTCTGAACCTCTAGGCTGCAAGCGATATGACACCAAACTATTCACCTTGTGAAGGATCACTTCTTGCTTGTGAAAGTCAATTGAAGCGCCAACTGTACTAAGGAAAGGGGTTCCCAATAAAAGGCAAATCCTTCTCTTCTTCCATTTCCATCACAGTGAGATCAGTTTGGATGATGCATTCTCCAATTTTCAAGTGATAGTTCTTGAACACTCCAAGAGGAGACTTAGTAGTTGCATCTCCAAAGATGATTGAAGTAGTAGGGCGCTGCAAGGCTCCAGCTATGCCTAGCTTCTCTGCCATGGAGAGAGAGATCAGATTGATGCTTGCTCCAGAATCCACTAAGGCATTGTCAATCTCAAGATGCCCAAGTGTGCAAGGGAGAGTGAATTTCCCTTGATCCTTGACCTTTGGTAGGAAGGTGGGTGAAGTAAGCAGGTTGAACTGATGAGTAGACTCTTGTAGGACCTCTGAAACTTTATCACTGTTGGCTAGAACATCCTTGACCATTTGCATTTGATCAAATGCCTCACTCATGCTATCCATAGAGGCAACTCAATTCCAATCCCACTGAGATCTCTTCTGAACTTGTGAATCACTTCCTTGTGACCTTGACTAAGTAGGCGAGACGAGGAAGCGGCAACCGGTTGATAAGGATCAAGCAAAACAGGCTGTCGGACAGAAGAGGTCGGACTCGATCGAGCTAGAGTTGGACTCGATCGAGCTGCCGATCGAGCTTGTCGTGCGAGCTCAACTGGTGAAGTGTGAATGGCCACAGTAGGTGCATGCACTTCTGGTTGATCAATCTGGACTCCAGGAGCCTCAGCAGCAACAATCTCTTCATCATTCAGCAGTGAAACAAGTCCTTCTTGAGTGAAGATGACCTTGCACTGTTCCTTGGGGTTCTGAATAGCTTTACCAGGTAGTTGTCCTTGCTTTGTAGCAGCAGCAACAGAAGAAGCATGATTCTCCAGAGAGTAAACCCTTGTGTTGAGGTTCTCGATCTTAGAGTTTATTTCAGCTAGCTTCTTGCTTGTGTCCACTACCCCATCAGCTTGCCCTTGAAGTAGTTGCTTTAGCATTGCTTGAGCTCATTCTCTTGTGAAGGTGCAGGCTGGGGCGGTTGGTGGGGGAAGCCTGGTGGGATATTCATTTGTTGTCCAGGGAAAGTGCCTTGTGGTCCTTGGTAATTGTTCTTTTGACCATACCCATGTTGTGGCACCTTGACTCGATCGAGCTGCTTGTTGTTGAGGATAGACTTGGTCCTGAGGGTTAGCAACATCAGTGTTGCGGTATGACATGGCAGGGTTGGACTTGTAGTTATAGTATCCTTTGTTGTAACCTCCTTGCCCATTGCTCATGTAGCATACCTCAGCAAATTGTGTATCCTCCCCTTCTTGGACTGGTTCCATCTCCTCAGCAGACACAAAGTTGACTTTCTTCATTGTGGACTGAGCTAGGATCAGCTTATCCAACTTCTCATTCAATGCCTTAACATCTTTTCTCAACTTTTCGTCTGACTCGATCGAGTGGTGGGTCGAGCTCCGGTTGGTGCGATCATACTCTTCTCCATAGCTTCCATTTGAGTTAGCTATGTTCTCCACAAGTTGCCAGCCATCATCTACATCCTGGTTGAGGAAGTTCCCATTGCTAGCTGTGTCTAGCATCTCCCTATACCTAGGCAAGCATCCTCTATAAAGAGTGGAGAGTAGTGATTCATTGTTGAATCCATGGTGTGGGCACTGACTTGTGTAGCCTTTGAACCTCTCCCAAGCCTCTGCGAATGTCTCATTGTTTCGCTGGATGAAGCTGGATATCTCTCCTCTAAGCTTGGCTGTGCGACCGGTGGAGAAAAACTTAGCAAGAAAGGCCTTCTTGCATTCATCCCAAGTGGTGATTGTGCCATGGGGCAAGCTCTTCTCCCATTGGTGAGCTTTGTCAGCTAGAGACATAGGAAAGAGTCTCAGCTTGATGGCATCTTCAGAGACACCATTGATCTTTGTCAAATCACAAAGCCTATCAAACTCATCAAGGTGGTCAATGGGGTCTTCACTTGGCAATCCATGGAACATCTTGTTCTGGACAAGGTTGATCATTCCCAGCTTGATCTCAAAGTTGTGGTTCTGCACTGGTGGTGGAACAATCCCTTGTCTCTGTTGGTGGCGGTTTGGAGCATCTCCTTGACCAATCGGTCGAGTTTGCCTAGCTCGACCGAGTCCATGCCCAAAGGGTTTCCATTCCCCTCTGGTACATCCATTGTATCAGCAACAAGCACCTCAGGTTCCTCTTGTACCCTCTGTGACCTCTGAACCCTCTTTCTACCCGTTGTAATGTCTAGCTCGACCAAGTCTTCAGTTGACCGACTCGATCGAGTTCGCATACACCTGCAAAAAGAGACAAAAACCCAGCAGTACAATAGAACAGGGGTGGTATAGCTTGATCGTCCAAGTGTGTTTGAAACTCAAATGCAACAAAAATATTCCCAAATCGGCAACGGCGCCAAATTGATGATAGGATTTTGTGTGTGGATGTGAAAAGAATGAAATGAGATGAGTGGAATGCAATCAGTGGTAATGATGGTGGTAAGATGCAAACACAAACACAGTCAACAATTCCCTTTAACCATCATAGTCATTGAAGTATAAGGGTTATCAATCCAAAATGGGAAACTTGTCACTCTATGAGAATATGAAACAACCAGAAAGTCAAGCAAGCAGTTATAGATTTGAAGTAACACTAACAACCTAAAAATGAAAATGCAGTGCAATAAAAGTAAACAAAGCAGTAAGTAGCTCGACCAAGACTCGAGTCGAGTGGACAGAGTACCAGCTCGATCGAGTTTAGGGTCGAGTTGAGAAAAAAAGCTAAAGGTGACGACTTTAACAAGATAAAGAGAGAATTAGGGTTCAAGACAGGGTTTTGCAATCAAAGGAATCTACACTTAATCAATCTAGCTCTTAAAACTCCTTGTATCAAGGCTTCTCTTGATATTGGGCTTCTCAATGCCTAGCCAACCCTTTCCCAAGGTGGAGGCTATCAACCAAGGAATGATCTCAGAAACAGGGGGTTAGCCAGTGAGAATCAAACCTTGGAGGCTATAGGATCATTGCCCAAACTAATCCATCCAACCCCTTAGACCTCTATTGTCTAGAGCAAGAGATATTGGAGCTCTTAGTGGATCTTTTCCAGCGAATGCCATCACTTCGTGTGGGGATCGCCTAAGGACTTACAAGCCAGGGGTAGTGGTCATGTAGCCTTAAGATCTATCCAAAAGAGAGAGAATCTAGATTAAGACCATAAGCTAGAAGGATTAAGCATATGAAACCTCTAATCTATCCCATCTCAAACCCTAATGGGTAACTACTCACTACACATGAATGTAAACACAAGCAAATGCAATAAAAGAGACATCATAAGAAAGAGGAGATGAAATTAAACAACTTTTATTGAAATAAGCAAGTGCAAATACAAAGAAGATTATCCAGGATCTAAGATTCAAGAAGCAAGAGCTTCAAGAACACAAAGATGGGATTAGTCTCTAAAAAGTAAAAGACAATAAATTAAAGAAACTAAAACAAAATAATCTAAAGCTTGGTGGTTTTTTCGTGGCTTAGAGCCTTTAAATACAAGAGGATTAGGTTTAGGGTCAAAGGAAAGTCAAGGGGGAAGCAACATTTTTCGGGTTTGACTTTGACTTCCAGCTCGATCGAGTTGAAGCTTGGCCGGTCGAGTTGAGGAACTCGACCGGTTGGTCGAGTGGACGGTCGAGCTGGTCTTCAAGATGGCTTCTCCCTTCTTCCTTTGCGTATCCAGTTGAGCTGCTTCCATGTGCCAAGTCCCTCCATGCTCCTTATGTCCCATATGCTCCAGAATGCTCCAAAAGACCTATTTCAAAGGACCAAACATGCATATGTATGCAAATGCAACCTAAAACTAACATGAATGCATAAGAAGAGAAAAGGAACAAGATATGATGCAAATGGAAGCTAAAACTATGCAAAAGATGCATAAAAGATGTGCTAAAACTATGTAAAATGCAAGTACATCACTTTGTCACAATCCCAGCTGCAACTATGTCAAGCAACATAACCTTTTCGCTGTCTCATCCTCAACCAGAAGGAGCAGCTTGAACCTGTATGTGACAATATTCCATGTTATTAAAATACTTACATTATCTCATATACTCTGTATCAAATTCGATTGACAAAATGTATTAGAAGTACTCACTTTAGTGACAAGATTTTGACATTTGTTTTGCATCTGTCGCAGTACCATATAGGTACATTGGGACGTGGTTTGGTGGGTGCTTCCTTCTTCAGATCTTTGGTAAATCTGTATTGACACTTTCCACATCCGAAATAGTACCAACCCCAGTCCGTATCTATTCCATAAAATTTGCAGAAAATCCTGAATTTCTCAACCTGCCATGATATATTATTTCTAAGGTAAGTAAATCATTCTCTTATCGCACAAGATATTTTACCTTGAGTATGCTGCAAGAATACATATAAGTACATCATAGTATAGACCTCGGTAGCATTTTGAATGTCATATACCGATTTTGTGTCCAACGCCAGCCACTATTCTTCCTTCTCTTTTATCCTCTATTTCGCTTTCTCTTGATCATCCTCTTTGATGAAAATAATCGCACCATCATTTGGAAAACTGTAGTATCAATTAATAGGTTAGTCTGAGATCATATATTCTGACAAAGACAAAACTATATCAAAATCAAATTTAAACATATTAGTAACCCATGCATGAAAGCTTCTGCCTCAGGTACGGGGACAGATCTGATCTCACTCACATCAAGAACCTGTCTCATGACATATGCAAAAGACATAGACAATTTTCCAAGAAGGATATGTAAGTTGCCCAATTTGTACGTTTAATAATGTAGATTATAATCACCTTAGTTTACTTACCAATCAAGATATTGTGATTCAAACCACCATCTAGGATCGTTTGGATAGGTACCAATGAAAGGAATATGTCTTCACATTTGATGGTGCATTTGCTTACCACCGTGTTCATAAACAACGACATCTTCCACTTGCTACTAGTTGGTCGAAATTGTCCGGTTGCGGGAGATAAGGTAAAGTTCTCCAACACTTTCCATTCCCCATCTTGCAACTCATTTGATAAGCGGCCTATATCCTTCTTCTTGAAAATATATACGGCACTCTTATGTCATAACCCAAACTAAAACTTTTGATTAAGAATCAAATGAACTACAGATTGTCAACTTACATGTTCATCTGCGAGAACCAGCTCCATTGTTTCACCAGACATGCCGCTAAACTGGCTCCAGGAGTGAAGAACCTTAACGCGAACCTTCCAAGATGACTTGAAAGATCTCACATCAGCAAGCTTGGTGAATGCGGAACCAATAGTCATTTCTACAAATCTAGGGTAAAACTTCTCTGTTTGATAACATTTATTGTGACAATGACTACCTATTTATAATGTACGTAGGTAGTTGTATCTTATGCCTAGGGTTTCGGAGATTTCAGAATTGATCACCATCACATATTCGAATGGAAATATAATCTGTATAGCTTGGAAAAATTTCTTAATTTATTCATTTAAACATTTAATAGTATCTGCAGTGATGATGTACTCATATTTTACATGTTTTTAGTACATCTTTTGTACTACTTTTGCATACTCTCACTCTTCATTAGCATCATATCTTGTTGTTTTCTTCTTCATTTTCATTCTTAGTGCATTAGGCTTGATCTTACATACATGTGCATTTTTGAGCCTTAATCAGGTCATTATGGAGCATTTTGGAGCATTTGAGTCTTGAGGAGCAAGGAAGGAGCTTGCATGGACCACCACTCGATCGCGCAGCTCAGGATGTCCAAAGTTGGCGCCTTTATGTCCAGCTCGACCCAGCCGTTCGACCAACCGATCGAGCTTGGCCAAAATTTTCCAACATTACACTAGCTCGACCGGCCAAAAGACGACTAGCTTCCCTTTGACCTCCTTTGACCTTAAACACTAGTTTGTTTCCTATAAAAGGCAAAGGACCAGGAATTAATCACAACTTTTTCTTAATCTTGTAATTTTCCTTTCTTCTTTTAGCTTTTAGCCACTTCTTTGTGTTCTTAAGCTTTTGCTCATTGGATCTTAGATCTTGGCTTTGTTATTGCGAATTTGTACTTGCTTATCTCTAATAAAGTTGTTTATCTTGCTTCCCTTTATCTATTGATGTTTATTTCATTAAGTTTTGTTGGTTCCTTAATCATGTTTACTGAGTAGTTCCATCATTAGGGTTAGAGATGGGTTAGATTAGGAGTTGTTTATACTTAATCCTTGTTGCTTAGTGTTCTTAATCTAGAAATCTCTCTCTTTTGGGCTAGGCTTTATGCGACACAACCACTATCCATGGTGTGTTTGGTTTTAGGTGATTATCATCATGTAAATGAGTTGATAATCACTTGAACAAGCCCACTAAGAGCTTTAGCATGCCTGTCTCACGAAAGTGACAGTTCATGGGTGCTAAAGGGTGAGTTTGAACAAAGTTTCTATAACCTTCAAGGATTGATTTCACTGGCTGACCCCCTTGATTGATGATTTTCACCTTGGGAAAGGGTTAATCAGCCTTTAGAAGTTTAAAACCAAGAGATTAGCTTGAGTACAAGCTGTTTAAGAGCATCATTGATTAAGTATAACCTTCTCCTAGTTGCAAAACCCCATATTTAAGCCTAATCATTATCATTCTAGTCTAAAAACCGCATCTTTATTTCTTAGCATTTGCATTTGCTATGTTTCCCCTGTTTTTACTCTGTTTTAAGCCTAGCTCGATCGAGTTCATTTCCTCTCTGTTTTTGTACCAACTCGATCGAGCCCATCTGCATTCGCTTATCTCTGTCTAGTCTCTTGCATTCACTGCTTTGTTTAGATTCGCCTTTACTGTTTACTTGCATTTCATTTCATTAGGTTACATGCATCACCTTTAAATCATTTGGCTTGACTTCCAAGCATTTACATAATCTTATAGAGCAACAATCATTTCCCATTATGGATTGATAACCTCTTGTACTACATTTACATGACGCTGCATAGAATAGGGAAATGCATCAAATCACAGCAATGGTTGAATGAGATGTGCATGCAGCGATATGATCAAGATAAACATGGTTCTTGTGCTCAATCAATCTCACCCTAATGCACAAAAGAATCTAAAAACAGGGCACTCAAGAAATCGCAAAAGATGAACAAGTTTTCAAAGTCAAATCAACAATGCAAGTGAAAAATGCAATCCTAAACAAGTCTAACAAATATGAATGCAAAAAGATGAAAATATTTTTGGATTTTTTGAAAATTTTATGATTTTTTTGGTTTTTCTATGCAAAAGATGAAATGAAAAACTAAGAACAAAGAAAACAAGGTTAAATCATCTCTTGAACCCTCCCCCAAACTTAAATCACACAGTCCCTTGTGTGAGAAAAATTTAGTGAAAGATTCAAGAGGGCAAAACCAAGAAAAAACAAGAACAAATGCAAGAAAATATGAAATGGTATATACAAGGGTTGGTGTTTGGATACCTCAGTGCCCCCCAAAGAACTGGGAGGCTAGGTCGTGGTCTGGAGATGGTAGACGGCCATCAGGAGCGCTCCATGCAACTGGGTTGCCTCACTCGATCGAGCTTGCGGCTCCTCCTCTTCTTCTTCTTCATCTTCAAAGTGTGTGTGGCTCCCTTGGCCTTGGAGGAGCTGTGCTTGCTCGAAGCTGTTGTAGGGGTCCAGTTGGTCTGGGAGAAGTCCTGGTACTGCGTTGGATCGTACTCGAATCCAGGGTTCTCAAACAGGGGCTCCTCCAGGTCAACTCGACCCTCAGCTCGATCGAGTTGAGTTTCCTCTGTTTGGACTCGATCGAGTCCGGTGGTCGAGCTGGAGCGTCTGGCCTTGGAAGTCTTCCTCCTTCTCTGCGTGTTGTCTTCTCCTTCCCTTGGCTCGAAAGAAGAGGCTCTGTGAGGTCTTGCGGGAGAGCCTCCTTTGAGTGGTGAGGAGTGACCTACTCCTAGGGAAAGTGGGGGCCATGGGTCCTTCTTCTTCTTGCTTGAAGAACCAGAAACTTTCTTCTCCAAGCTTTTGATCTTGCTCACCATCTTGTCCATGGCCTTCCCTTGCCACTTGTTGAACCTTTGTAGGAGTCCAATCCTCTTGTGGGCAGCCACAACAGAGGGGTTCATCCTTGGAGCCTCATACTCCTCAAAATAATAGCACTCAGGCTCACCCAAATCTGCACTCTCCTGGACTCGATCTTCAGCTTGAATCTCAGCTCGATCCTCAGCTCGATCGAGCTCGGCTCTTCTTCTTGCAAATCCGCTTCATGCCCAATCTGAAGTCAATGTTTGTACCTCCTAGAACCGTGGTGAGCTCAGGGTTGGGCAGAAGAAGCTTGGAGGGGCCAGCCAAAGGATGAGTGAATTTGAATTGGAACCTCCCATCCAACTCTTTGTGTTCAATGAGAGGTTGGTCTTGCAAAACTTAATATCCATCCACCCTGCTGGAGTAGACCTTCTCTTGTCCAAATGGACTCCAGCTGCACAGAGGATAGGTGTGATGACCCTCCAACACTAAGCTTCTTCCCTTTGATGCCTAGTGTTGTAAGCCGTGACCTTGTAAGCTTGGAGCTGCTCAAGGAGAGGCATGAGATTCCCTGCGTGTGCCCTGTCTCCTCTGATCTTCTTCCCATCCTTGTGCGTGAGATGATGGGCTTGATTCCCATGTCAAGGAGCTTCACTTCTCCCTCATTGATTGTTCCAGTGGCTTTCCTTGCAAAGAAGGTGTTGCAAGAGCCTTGTGGACATATCTCAAGCACAGGACTTCTGATCTGGCAGCCTTGGACCTTGAGAAGAGTACCTCCATCAGCGATTGTAGCCCATACTCTTTGGAGTTCATTTTCCTTGATGTTCCATAGATTTCCTTCTCCATATGTGAACCCAAACAGTATCTCAAGCTGCCTAAAGGTCACCATCTTCTTCTCTCCCTTTGCCAAGAAAGTTATGTACCCCCACCCTTGGTCCAACTCAGCTCGATCGAGCTCACAAACTCGTGATGCTTCATCGATGCCAAAAACTCACAAGTCAACTCCTTGTAAGACTCCATGCGGTGAGAGAAGAACTTTCCCAATTGCATGTTCTTGAGCACCAACTCCACATCCTCAAAGATCCCAAGGTCTCTCATGGTGTCATCATGTGGGTACTTGGTCTCCAAAAAGTCCTCCTTTCTTCCCTCAATCTCTCACTCTCAGACTTTTCCTCAGAGTATACATACTCCTCTGCATCAGACCCTTCCATTCTTTGATTCATCTTCTCCAAATCGGCTTGCATCTTAAGCCTTGTCTCTCTTGCATTGCTCGATTCACCCTCAACCATCCTCCTTTGTGAAGCACGACTTCCCTCACTGTTTGTCATCTCTGTTACACTGTTTCTTCACTAAAGTACCTGAAATGCATCAAAGATTACAAAGAATTAGAGTTGCAATGATCGGTTTGGTCAACTCGACACTCAGCTCGATCGAGTCAAAAAACTCGAGTGACAAACTCGATCGAGCTAGGTGAAAACAGAGTATAACCAAACCTAATTCAAGTATTAAGAGCTGGAAAGGATGCTAATCAATCAAATTGAACCAAGAACAACTAGTAAATGGAACAATGAGCAATTCTAGTGAAACACTAAGCATCTTAACCAATACCAAACTCAAATTCATTTTTCAAGCACATGCAACAAGTTCTTATGATAAAACAGAGGTGAGGTGAGGCAAATCAACAGTGGTATAAACAGGAGATTGAGATGAGAGCAATTACTCAAGAATAAACCCACAAGGGCACATGCAATCAAAAATCAAAGAGAAATCAAGCAAATATGAAAATCGAAATGGAAGAATCAAGGGTTCTTAGGGTTCATACCTTGCTTGAGTGATGAATTAAGAACAGTAAGCTAGAACCCAACGAAAAGTGAAGCACAAGAGGAAATCGCAAAAACTTAAGAGAGAAAGAGAGGAATTCGAAAATTTTCTTGTGGTGAAGAGAGAGAGAGAGATGGTTTCCAGAAATTTTAAGGTGTGGGGGAGTGGAGAAGTGGGTTCGATCGAGTTATGGGGAAGAGGGAGTGTTTGAGATGTGTGGTTGAGATTAAAAGTGAAATAAAGAGGGGACAAGAAGCTAGGGTTTCTCTGATCAATTAGGGTAGTGGGGGACCAAAATCAGCTTGTGGGACCCACTCCCTTGACCAAGAAAACGGTTATGAATTTGAAATTCAAAAACTTACCTCGGTCGAGTTGCGGAACTCGATCGAGTTGCCCCTGTTTCTAGCTCGATCGAGCTATCGGTCGAGCTGGCTCCTTTGTCACCTAAACTTAACTTATTGAAAGGTTAAAAACATAAAGATAGATAGAAATTGCATAAATAGAGTATGTACAAGGATAGACATGGGACTTCCTCCCAAGTGAGCTTGTTTAAGGTCCCATAGCTTGACCTTTACCTTTTAGGCATTGGTTGAGCTAGTCCCACCATCAAGGGTGATAGTGAGGACTTGAGACAGAAGCTCCTTTAGCTTGGTTGGATCCCTGGATTGTTCTGAAGTCACCAAGGCTTTGGCTCTAGAGAATGGTCTTGATCTCCCCTTGTACCTTATCTTGTACTCAATCTTCCCATTTTCAAACTTGGTGGGGAACAAGGTCATAGTGAGCTGAGATGGCTTGGTTGAGGGGCCTGAGCTGGTGGATCCTTTCTTTTTCTGCCACAAGTGCCTTTGAGGCTGCATCCTCCCCTTCTTTTAGAGCCTTCCTAGTGGCTCATCAAACAAAGCTTGAAGGCTCTCCTCATCAAGCACACAAGGGCTTGAACAAGGCGATCAGCTCTTGGCCTATCAGATCGTGGTTTCTCAAGTCGTGGCCTCTCAAGTCTTGGTTTCTCAATTCTTGATCCTTTCTCAACCTTATCTTCACAATCCTTGGCTCTTTTTCAACATTTTCCTTCACAACCTTGGCAACTTCTTGACTCTTGGAACTTAGTGGGGTGCTTTCAATTGTGCCACAATACTCATATCCTCTAGGCTGCAAGCGATATGAGACCAAACTATTCACTTTGTGGAGAATCACCTCTTGCTTGTGAAAATCAATTGAAGCGCCAATTGTACTAAGGAAGGGAGTTCCCAAGATCAAAGGCACATCCTTTTCTTCTTCCATCTCCAAGACAGTGAGATCAGTTTGGATTATGCACTCTCCTATTTTCAAATGATTTGTTTTTGAACACACCAAGAGGAGATTTAGAAGTTGCATCTACAAACATGATTGAAGTAGTAAGGCACCCAGCAATGCCAAGCTTCTCTGCCATTGTGAGAGAGATGAGGTTTATACTTGCACCAGAATCGACTAAGGCGTTGTCAAGCTCAAGATGGCCAAGTGTGCAAGGGAGAGTGAATTTCCCTTCATCCTCTTCTGAACTTGTGAATAACTTCCTTGTGGCCTTGACTGAGTAGGCGGTCTGAGGATGGATCAACAAGGATCAAGCAAAACGGATTTCAAAACTGATGGTGCCTGACTCGATCGAGGTAGAACTCGACTCGATCGACCTACCGATCGAGCTTGTTGTGCGAGCTCAACTGGTGAAGTGTGAATGGCTATTTGAGTAGCCTGCATTTCAGGTTGAACATTCTGGACTCCAGGAGCCTCAGAAACAACATTGTCTTCATTAGTAAGCAGCATACAGAACTCCTCAATGGCTCTCTCATTATCAGCTTGTTCATCAAGTCCTCCTTCTTGAGTGAAGTTCACTTTGCAATGCTCCTTAGGATTCTGAACACCTTTTCCAGGTAGTTGTCCTTGTTTTGCAGCAGCAGAAGAAGAAGCATGGTTTTCTAAACTGTAGACTCTAGTGTTCAAGGACTCTATCTTGGAATTGATATCAGCCAATTTATTGCTTGTTTCCACAACTCCATCAGCTTGGCCTTGGAGCAATTGTTTCAACATTGCCTTTAGCTCATGCTCTTGGTTAGGCGCATGCTGTAAACCAGGTGGTATATGCATTTGCTGTTGATGGCGGGTTTAGATTGCCTCAAATTTTCACAATTTATAAACCCAACTAATGAGCTGCAAGTGCACAGCCGTGTTGTAGTCGGGGTCGAACACGAGGAGGAAGTGTTCTCACTTAACACCTTGTGAGATTGGTTTGTAGCTAGCTCGCAATATGAGATGGTTTTGGACCTAGAATGAGAAAAAACAAAAGAAATGTGAGTGAGGTTGTAAACAATTTAAAACAAGAGTTAGGCAAAGGACAATCATATGGAGCAATGATGAAAAGATAGTTGCATGGGATGTGTGTAGAGCCGTCTTGAACATGAATCACTAGTGTATGGTCTTTCCACTGTCGTGGCTCCAACCACTATGTTTAAAACAACCTAATATACTCAGCTTTCGTTGGCTATTAGAATTGCAAACATGCATTAAAGGTGATCAAGATTCAATTGTTCACAATAAACCATAACTCAGCTTTCGTTGGCTATGATCTATTGCTCACCAAATACTAGTTTTGAGATCTAGATTCAGCACTGTCGTGGTTCTATTTCTCTAAGATCAGATTACTAGATGTACGGTAGAGTAATCATGCATTAAGCTCAAGTAAAGGTGAAGATCCATAAGATAAATCCCAATAAGTTGCAACACAATCAAATCATCACGGCCACCATAGATCTCCTCGGCCTAACTAAGAGATCTACTCGGCCATGATGCAAACAAGCAAGCAAAGCATGATTGTAAACATTATGCAAGTATTAAAAGAGATAAAGGGATGAAGAAAGCTTCTCTATTGATGAACAAAGTCGGATTCTCCCTTGAAAACTCTTAAATCAAGTTTATAGAAATGGAAACAATGAAAAAGAAAGAACAAGAGTTGAGCGGCGCCTCCTTCTTCTTGGACGATCTCCTAGGGCTTCTCTCCTCTGAACTCTCTTCTCACACGTACACTCTTTGATAATTTTCGGACTCGACTCTCTTCTTCAGCGGCTAAAAACATGTATATATGGGCGAAGTCGCGTAGGGTTTTCTTCATGCCGGAAAAGGAAAGTTTCCCGTGAGCAAAGCCTTCTTCTCCACGTCGTGTATGGGCCGACATTGTACCAAGGAAAGCTCCAAACATTAGCCAGGCCTCTTCTCTATTCGATCAAGGCCTTTGGCGCTGCTGCTCGGGCCATTAGACACTCCAAATCCTCCATGGGCTTCGTTTACTCGCTTACCGGACATGTCTCGGTAGAAAATAAGTCTAGGCCTCATAGTTGATCCAAATGGCTTCATTCCACTTCGACGTGATGCATGACTCAAGTATCTATCTTTCCATATCAAGATCGTAACTTTTGGACGTCGGGAACTCCTCCGCGCGCGGCCAAACTTCCGAAGCTTCGTTCTGCGCGCAAGCGAGAACTAACACTTGGAGATAAAATGATCTTCTTGACTTGGAAACTTGCATGGATCTTGATTTAGGGCTCTTTTACTCCTTTTTGCATCCTTTTTGATTTTCACCTACAAAGACTTCAAATCCCACAAATACAAGAAAACTACCTCTAAAGGCAAAGAATCTTGCAAAAACCGTTTGAAAACATAGGTAATTATATAGTAAAATCATGTAAAATATGGTGATATCAGCTGTCCAGGGAAAGTCCGTTGAGGTCCTTGGTAATTGTTTTTCTGACCATACCCTTATTGAGGAGCTTAACTCCATCGAGCCTGCTGTTGTTGTGGGTAAACCTGATCCTGACGGTTGGCTACGTCTGCGTTCCTGTAAGACATGGCTGGATTGGTTTTGTAGTTGTAATACCTTTGTTGTAGCCTCCTTGTCCATTGCTCATGTAACAAACATCAGCAAATTGTGTATCCTCCCCTTCTTGAACAGGAACTATCTCTTCAACAATCACAAAATTGACCTTCTTCATTGTGGATTGAGCTAAGATAAGTTTATTCAACTTCTCATTCAGTGCTTTCACTTCTTTTCTCAGTTTGTCATCTGACTCGAGTGGTGGGTCAAGCTCCGGTTTGTGCGGTCATACTCCTCTCCATAACTCCCTTTTGAGTTAGCAATGTTCTCCACAAGCTGACAGGCGTCATCTACATCCTGATTGAGAAAGTTTTCATTCCTGGCTATGTCTAGCATCTCTCTATATCTAGGCAAACATCCTCTATAGAGTGTCGAGAGAAAAGACTCATTGTTCCTCTGAGTGAAGCCTGAGATCTCACTCCTTAGCTTGGCTGTGCGCCCAGTTGAAAAGAACTTTGCAAGAAACGCCTTCTTGCACTCATCCCATGTGGTGGTTGTACCATGGGGCAGGCTCTTCTCCCATTGGTGAGCCTTGTCAGCAAGAGACATAGGGAAGAGTTTCAGCTTGATGACATCTTCAGAGACACCATTGATCTTGGTCAGATCACACAACCTATCAAACTCATCAAGATGGTCAATTGGGTCTTCACAAGACAACCCATGGAACATCTTGTTCTGCACCAGATTGATCATACCCAGCTTGATCTCGAAGTTGTGGCTCTGGACAGGAGGAGGGACAATCCCTTGTCTTTGTTGGTGGCGGTTTGGTGCATCTCCAAGCCCAATCGGTCGTGTCTGCCTAGCTCGACCATTTCCATTACCCAAAGGGTTTCCATTACCCTCAGGATCATTCATTGTATCAGTAACAACCACCTCTGACTCAACTTGTTGCCTCTGGCTCTTCTTTCTCTGTTTTCTGCCTATGTTGATGTCTAACTCGACCAAGTCCTCTGTAGATGAGCTCGATCGAGTTCGCATACACCTGCAAAACAGTCAAAACCCCAGCAGTACAAGTAACAAAAGGTGGGATAGTGCTTGATCGTCTAAGTGATTTGAAAACTCAAATGCAACAATAATAAACCCAAATGGCAACGGCGCCAAATTGATGAAAGGATGTTACGTGGATGGTGATGAAAGTATAGTATGAGATGGACGCAAGTGAAGTGGAATGTAGATGAGATGGTATGGTAAACAGATGCAATCACAATCAATCAATTCCTCTTTATCATCATAATCATGTAGTATAAGAGGTTATCAATCCAAATGGGTAATTTGCTGCTCTATGAGAATATGCAAACACAAGAAAGTCAAGCCAATTGATTAAAAGGATGGATGTAGCAACTAACAACCTAAAATGAAATGAAAATGCAAGAAACAAATAAATGCAAGGCAGCTCGACCAAGAGCTCGATCGAGTAGAAACAGAGTAACTGAGCTTGATTAAGTCGAGGGTCGAGTTAGCGTAAAAACAGAGGAAATGCAATGTAAAGCGATAAAGGTGCAAACTTTAAACTATTAAGACGGGGATTAGGGCTAAAGACAGGGTTTTGCAGCTCGAGAGAGGCTATACTAAATCAACCTTGCTCTTAAACATCTTGTACTCAAGCTATCTCTTGGTATTGAGCTTCTCAAGCCTAGCTAACCCTTTCCCAAGGTGAGAGCTATCATCCAAGTGATGCGGGTTTAGATTGCCTCAAATTTTCACAATTTATAAACCCAACTAGTTGAGCTGCAAGTGCACAGCCGCGTTGTAGTCGGGGTCGAACACAAGGAGGAAGTGTTCTCGCTTAACACCTTGTGAGATTGAGTTGTAGCTAGCTCGTGATATTGGATGGTTTTGGACCTAAGAATAAGAAAACAAAACAAAGAGAAATATGAGTGAGGTTGTAAACAATTTAAAACAAGAGTTAGGCAAAGGACAATCATATGGAGCAATGATGAAAAGATAGTTGCATGGGATTTGTGTAAAGCCGTCTTGAACATGAATCACTAGTGTATGGTTTTTCCACTGTCGTGGCTCCAACCACTATGTTTAAAACAACCTAATATACTCAGCTTTCGTTGGCTATTAGTATTGCAAACATGCATTAAAGGTGATCAAGATTCAATTGTTCACAATGAACCATAACTCAACTTTCGTTGGCCATGATCCCATTGCTCACCAAATACTAGGTTCGAGATCTAGATTCAGCACTGTCGTGGTTCTATTTCTCTAAGATCAGATTACTAGATGTACGGTAGAGTAATCATGCATTAAGTTCAAGTAAAGGTGAAGATCCATAAGATAAATCCCAATAAGTTGCAACACAATCAAATCATCACGGCCACCATAGATCTCCTCGGCCTAACTAAGAGATCTACTCGGCCATGATGCAAACAAGCAAGCAAAGCATGATTGAAAGCATTATGCAAGTATTAAAAGAGATAAAGGGATGAAGAAAGCTTCTCTATTGATGAACAAAGTCGGATTCTCCCTTGAAACTCTTAGAATCAAATACAAAGAAATGGAAATAATGAAACAAGAAAGAACAAGAGTTGAGCGGCGCCTCCTTCTTCTAGACGACTCCTAGGGCTTCTCTCCTTCGGCTCTCTTCTCTGGACTCTCTTCTCACAAACTCACACGCTCGATCCTCCTTCTTCAGCGGCTAAAAACATGTATATATGGGCGAAGTCGAGTAGGGTTTTCTTCATGCCGAAAAGGAAAGTTTCCCATGAGCCGAGCCTTCTCTCCACGTCGTGTATGGGCCGACATTGTACCAAGGAAAGCTCCAAACATTAGCCAGGCCTCTTCTCTTTCGATCAAGGCCTTTGGCGCTGCTGCTCGGGCCATTAGACACTCCAAATCCTCCATGGGCTTCGTTTGCTCGCTTACCGGACATGTCTCGGTAGAAAATAAGTTTCGGCCTTATGGTTGATCCAAATGGCTTCATTCCACTTCGACGTGATGCATGACTCAAGTATCTATCTTTCCATATCAAGATCGTGACTTTTGGACGTCGGGAACTCCTCCGCACGCGGCCAAACTTCCGAAGCTTCGTTCTGCTCGCTAGCGAGAACTAACACTTGGAGATAAAATGATGTTCTTGACTTGGAAACTTGCATGGAACTTGGTTTGAGACTCTTTTACTCCTTTTTGCATCCTTTTTGATGGTTTCACCTACAAAGACTTCAAATCCCACAAATACAAGAAAACTACCTCTAAAGGCAAAGAATCTTGCAAAAACCGTTTGAAAACATAAATAGTTATATAGTAAAATCATGTAAAATATAGTGATATCACCAAGGCAGGATCTCAGAAACAGGAGGTCACCCAGTTAGATCAAGCCTTGGAGGCATTAGGATCATTGCTCAAACTAACCCATCCAACACCTATACACCCTTTTTCGAGAGGCAAGCATATTGGAGCTCTTAGTGGACTTTTTTATAGACTCATACACACCATGGTCAGTGGTTGTGCAGCCTTAAGCTTTGTCCAAAAGAGAGAGATTTTATATTAAGAACATAAAGCAAGAGAGATTAAGCATAAACAACCTCTAACAATCCCATCTTAAGCCTTAAAGAGAACTACTCACTTATCATGGCGAAATACTCAATCAAATGCAATAAAGTAGACATGGAAAGATAGAGGAGATGAAACTAAAGAACTTTTCTTGAAATAACCAAGTGCAGAAATACAAAGATAGAGCATAGATCTAAGGTTCAAGAGCAAGAGCTCAAGAACACAAAGAGAGGCTAATGTTTTTGGAAAAAGTAAATTACAAAAATTAAAGCAAAAGCAAAACAAGATTAAGCTAAAGGAGAGTCTATTTTTCGTGGCTACAAGCCCTTAAATAGGAAATGGATTAGGTTTAGGGTCAAAGGGGAGTCAAAGGGAAGCAACATTTTTCAGGTTTGACTTTGACTCCTAGAATAGCAGCTCGATCGAGTTGAGTCTTGGCCGGTCCAGTTGGTGAACTCGACCAGTTGGTCGCGCAGGTGGTCGAGCTGGCTTCTAAGGCGACTTTCTTCTTCACTCCAAGCATGCGCGGTTAAGCTGAGTCCATGCACAATGTCCTTCCTATCTCCTCACGTCCCCATTGCTCCATAATGCTCCAAATAGACCTAATTAAGGATCAAACATGCACATGTATGCAAATGCAACCTAAAACTACAATGTATGCATAAGAAAGGAAAATGAACAAGATATGATGCTAATGAATGCTAAAACGATGTAAAAGATATACTAAAACTATGTAAAATGCAAGTACATCAGTTTACCATTGCACTTTTCCCACAATTCTTTGAATTCAGCATCACTTTCATACAACTCCTTTAGTAACTCAAAACCCACAATCTCATGTGTCAGAGAGTCCCAGACTTATGCTGAATAATGAATGGAAACTTTTGCAGAAAGCTTACCCATCGAGCATGCATCTTGTTTATCACTTTCTGACTATGAAGGAACTTCAGAGCTTGGTGGTCAGTGAACAAGATAAACTCTCTCTGAATCAAGTAATGATCCCACTGTCTTAGAGCTCTAAATACTGCATAAAACTCTTGATCATAAGTACTCCATCTTTGGCGAGCCTCACTTAACTTCGCACTAAAGAAAGCTATTGGTCTTTTCTCTTGAGATAAGACAGCACCTATTCCAACTCCACTAGCATCACATTCAACTTGGAACACTTTATCAAAGTCAGGAAATGCCAAAACTGGTGCAGTACATAGCTTCTCCTTAATTAAAGCAAATCTCTTGTCTTGTTCAGACCCCCAAAAGAATTTCCCTTTCTTCAAACATTTAGTAATAGGAGCAGTAATGGTACTAAAATAATTAACAAATCTCCTATAGAAGGTAGGTAGACCATGAAACCTAAGTACCTCAGTGACTGATTTAGGGGCAGACCAATCCCTAATAGCTCTCACTTTCTCCTCACCAACCTGAATCCCTTCTTCACCAACAACAAATCCTAGAAATACCAGCTCGCTGGTACAGAATGTACAGTTCTTGAGATTAACGTACAACTGGTTTTCTTGTAAGACTTGCAAAACCTGCTTCAAATGATCCAAGTGCTCTTCTTTGGTCTTGCTGTAAATTAAAATATCATCAAAGTAAACAACCACAAAAGAACCAGCGAATGGTCGAAGAATCTGGTTCATCAATCTCATGAAAGTACTAGGAGCATTTGACAACCCAAAAGGCATCACCAACCATTCATACAATCCATCTTTGCTCTTAAAATCTGTCTTCCATTCATCATCAGGCCTGTTTCGAATTTGATGATATCCACTACGAAGATCTATCTTTGAAAATATCTTAGAACCCGCCAATTCATCAAGCATGTCTTCTAGTCGAGGGATAAGAAATCGATACTTGATGGTTATCTTGTTAATATCTCTACTATCAACACACATTTGCCATTGGTTACCTTTCTTAGGAACAAGAAGGACTGGCACTACGCATGGGCTCATGATCTCACGAATAAACCCTTTCTTCAGCAAATCCTCAATCTGTTCCCTTAAAATCTCATTCTTCTTCGGGCTCATACGATAGTTGGGAATGTTTGGTAAGCTAGAACCTGGAATCAAGTCAATATGATGTTGAATATCTCGCATAGGAGGCAGGTCATTCGGCAATTCATTAGCATTCAACTCCTTGAAATCTTTTAGAATCTCTAACACTTCTTCTGGAGTTGTTGCTTCCTCATTCACCACACTCATTAACCCTTTAACTACCACAAGGAAGAAACATTTAGTTTCTTTGAAAGCTTCGTCTAGCTCCTTTTCGCTATGTGTCATTACCAAGAAATTGGACTTCTTTTTCCCTTCGCTTCTATCAAAATCCAAAACAGGAGCCAAAGCAATTTTATGTGTTCCCCAAGTAAATAATATCACATTATCTCGTCCTCGATATGTGATATCATTATCATATTGCCATGGTCGGCCAAACAAAACATGACAAACATCCATGTCAAGAACATCACAAATTACTTCTTCCTTGTAGTGTTTCCCAATGGAGATGGGAACTTTGCAAGTCATTGTGACTCGAGCTTGTTAGCCCTTCTTTATCCACCCAAGAGGATATGGGTTCTCATTTTCTTTTGTTGGCAACTTCAGAAAATCGACCAGCTTTTGAGAAACCAAATTCTTTGTGCTTCCATTATCCACAATCACATTACACACTTTGTTTTGAATTTAGCAGTGTGTTTTAAAAAAATTCTTGCGTTGTCCTTCGTCCTTAGATGACAATAAGATTCTCTGAAGCACAATGTTTATCTTCTCATGTGACTCCTCTTCAGCAAATTCAACCCCTTCATATTCATCATCCTCATTAAACTCTTGTTCTTTGTCCTCTTCTTCTCCTAGCAAAGCAACAGTTCTTCTGCTTGGACAAACATTTGATTTGTGACATTGTCCTTGGCAACGATAACACTTATCAAGAGATGGTTTAGCATAAGGATTATTCTGCTTCTGAGCTGGTGCTTTACTCTGCTGAGTAGTGGTAGAACTACTAGCACCTTTATTTACAGGGTTGGGATCTTTGCTTACAACATTCTTTTCCTTTTCGTTTGCTGCCTCGTAGTTATTCTGAGGTGTAAACCTCTTGAATGAAGAAAAACTGCGAGTTGACTTCTCCATTAGCTCAGCCTTCAAAGCTAAACTAGAAGCCTCTTGCACAGTCCATACGGTCTGCAAACCAATTTTCTCTTGTATAGAGCTTCTTAAATCACTGATGTATCTAGCCACCTTTTGATTATCTGTCTCTCCTAGATCATTGCGTTCAGAGAAACGCACAAACTCAGCTGTGTACTCTGTCACTGTTCGTTTACCTTGAACACATTCGAGATACATCTTGTAGAGAATCTGCTCATAGTCTTCTGGTAAGAACCGATCAAGCATCAACTGCTTCATTCTACGCCAAGTCTTGACTGGTCCGTTTCTTTGCCTTTGTCTTTGGATAACAATTTTATACCACCATACAACAGCAGTTTTCTTCAGCCTGATTGCTACCATCTTAACTTGTTTGCTCTCAGGAACACTCATCATCGAAGAATCTATCAACATCAATCTGCCAATCCAGAAACTCCTCCACTCCCATAGTTCCATAGAACAATGGAATATCAGCCTTTACTCTATAATCATGATTGTTTTGTCGATTCTCTTGATCAGATTCTTCTTCGTCCTCAAGATCTTCATAATCAGAGCTAGAGATTTCGACATTAACACCACGACTGTTTCCACCATGTTGAACCCTAACTGGCTCTGTGGCACGATTGTTTTTGCCCTGTTGAACCCTAATTGGTTCTCTTCCCCTATCTCTTTGCCCTCCGTTAACAACTTGATTGGTGAAAGCTGTTATCTCTTTGCCCTCCGTTAACAACTTGATTGGTGAAAGCTGTTATCTGCCTCATGGCTACAACTTATAAGTGTTTACATAGGAAAACAAAACCCTAGAAAATATCCAAAACTGAGAAGGAAAAACGTAATTAAAGAAAAAGGAAAATTAAGGAAATCTCTTAAACATCTCCTACATTAGGTTACCTTCTGAAAAGCCATGGTTAGGGCAACTCCTTGTATACTCCTTGAATATCTCCAATGCTTCATAGAAAGACTCCATTACTGCTTGCTTAAAACCAGAAATCTTGCTCCTTATAGAGTTCGATCTTTACTTTGTGTAGAATTGTTTTAAGAAAGCTCCCCTGTATTCATTCCATGTTGTAATAGACTGCGTTGGTAAAGACTTGACCCATCTAAGTGCCTTGTCACTTAGAGAAAAAGTGAACAACTTGCACTTGAAGTAATCCACATACACTCCATTGATGCCAGTTGTGCTGCATATCTCCTCAAAGGCGTCGACATGATCAAGAGGATGTTCACTGGAAAAACCATGGAAATGGTTTTGTTTCACCAAGGCAATGACCTGAAGCTTGATCTCAAAGTCGTTCCTTGATGGTAGAGGTGGTCGGATGGGATTCCGATCCATTAAGAAAGCATCGGAAGAATCAAAATCTCCCATAGTTTGGTGCCTTAGATGCTGAGCGAATTGTGCTCTCCTTGAAGGCACTTGAGGTTGAGCTTGAGGCATCCCTTGATGGTCACCTTGATGATGATGATGGTGTTGATTATTTTGGAGCACCGGAGGTTGTTGTGGTTGATTATGAGATGGCTGCGGCTGCTCGGCAGCACCGGGAGCGTTTGGATTGGGTTGAGGCGCGGCTCCAGATTCTTGTGGTATATGAGGGTTATCAGCCCTCTCTTCTTGGTCAGAAGGCTGCTGCTGCCTATTTGGTGCGCCTTCTCCGCCTTGATTCATCCTCTCTCTTCTTTGTCGCCTTAGTGTTCTTTCCAGCTGCTCAATGTCAAGATCTTCTTCTATTGAGTTATTTGGATTGGACCTTCTTGTCATTCACCTAAAAAACACACAAAGAGACATTTAAGATAAATTTTAAAGATTTTATGGAAAACAAAAACAAAGATGCAAAGAAATTAAATGAACTAGTCTTGAAATCAATCAAGAGGTGTGAAGGAATAGCTACTACTCCCCTGCAGCGGTGCCAGAAAGCTTGATGTGCTTTGGGATTGCCCCAAGTTTTCACAATTTTTAACCCAACCAAACGACCTGAAAGTGCACAGACGTGTTGTAGTCGGGGTCGAGAACAAGGAGGAATTGTTCTCTCTTAACACCTTTAGAGGTTGAAAATGAGCTAGTTCGCAATATGAGTGAGATGGGAGCCTAAAATAGGAAAGATACAAAGACAAACTGTAAGTAAGGTTGTAAACAATTTAAAACAAAAATTAGGGAAAGGAAATTCATATGGAGCAAGTGATGAAAATATAGTTGCATGGGATAAGTGTAAAGCCGTCTTGAACATGAATCACTAGTGTATAGTCTTTCCACTGTTGTGGCTCCAACCATTATGTTTCAAACAACCTAATATACTCAGCTTTCGTTGGCTATTAGTATTGCAAACATGCATTAAAGGTGATCAAGATTCAATTGTTCACAATGGTCCATAACTCAGCTTTCGTTGGCGATGACCCATTGCTCACCAAATACTAGTTTGGAGATTTAGATTCGGCACTGTCATGGTTTTATCTCTGTAAGATCAGATGATTAGATTTACGGTAAAGTAATCATGTATTAAGTTCAAGTAAAGGTGAAGATCCATAAGATAAAATCCCAACAATATTGCAACACAATCAAATCATCATAGCATCCATAGATCTCCCCGGCCTAACCGAGAGATCTACTCGGCCATGATGCAAACAAGCAAGAAAACATGATTGAAAAATTACGTTTATAAGAGCTTATGATCATAACTGTTTGCAGGTACGAAGCATAAAACCAAATATTTATGTGGTTTTCTTAGTTTGGGAATCACATTTGAATCATTCAAAATTCTGGGGTGATTGGTCTTTTTGAGAAACAATCAAGAATTTATTATGGGATTATGTGGATGAAGTCTTTAGGGAGAACAATTATCTTATAGAGACTCTGGTTACTTTATTGGTATAGATCAGGAGGTAGAAAAACAAATGAACAATATACCACTATTGTTGAGGCTTTTCTTTTGAATTTTTGAAGACGGAGAACAACTTTTGGAGGATACTTTTTGTTCAAAGTTGTGATATTCATATGTACATGTTATATTTGATGCTTACTATACACACCATAAATCCAATTCTGACAACAACAAGCACAAGTCCGCTAAGATCTGAAAGCTGTTAGGACATGAGTGACATGCTAAATTTGGTGCAGGATCTAATGATCTGGTAAGCTTTGGATCATTTATGTGAGATTCTTAGATTGAATCATAGAAATTTGAATGAAATAATCTGTTGAATTATTCACACATTTTGATTTAGGAAAACAAAGGCCGACACTATTCTTGACTATGCTCCTTTTGGGCTTTCGTAAAAAACACACTCCCGGTGAGTAAATCTTTTTTTTCTGAAAAATGAAATGTTCTTGTCGGTCTGTTACATATGCAAATTTTTTGTATTGAACCATTGCTGAATCATTTCAGTATAGTGTAACTGAAGTATAATCCTATTTTAGAGTGGACTTAAAGAAAAGCGAAAATGACAAATCTTGGTTCACAAGAAGAACACTCAAAAGGTTTTAAACAACGTTTTGCTTTTCCCTCTTTACCCAAAAAATTGAAGTAGCTTAATTAAATGTTGCTTGGATTTTTTTCGAGAGATTTGTTCACTTGGTTTATTGTCCAGAATTTTTCTAAATAGTCAACATATTTGATTTTGAGAAGTCACAGTTAGAAGCAGTTCAGACATTGTATAGTCTCGTCTGTTAAATTTCTTCTTCGTTTCATCAAAAATTTAAGTTTAAGACCAAACGTCATCTATTTTTTCCCCCATTCTTAGACGATGGAGGCGTAACCGATGCAACAAAGTAGTAAAGATCTTTCTGCTTTTATATTGGGCAAATACTCAAACTGCATGTTGAAAAAGTGTATTCATGATTGCTTTTCTTTGTCAATAATCAGGAAGGAGACAATTAAAAAGAACTTAACCATATCCATTTCTTACGAATCAAAACTAATGATTTTGACCCTTTAATCCGTTGGGTGTGGTTACAATTATAACATTCATACGATTTTCTGTTACAATTATACATTATTCAAATTAAGAGGAAACTTAAATTTAAAGTAATAACAAACAATCACATATAGCATTTAGTGTACACAAAATAAATAAAAAATATAAATACTAACACAAACATTTTTTTGCAACTCATCATGGAAAGTGCGAACAACACAAAACACAAGCTGCACAAGAACATCATGGCGATTTGTCTTATATTTCTCGACAAACTCAGGAACTCGGAAAACATAAATACTTTTGATTTATAGTCATGCAAATCGATTATCCTACAAAATAAGATGTCCTTATTGTAGAAGAAAGTTTTTTTAACATGTCCATATTGTAGAATAAAAAAAATTGTATACATTGGTTATAAAAAAAAAACATGTTTGTTAGTTGATAAGGTTTACCCAATTTTCTTTAACGAATGAGAATCATGATCAATTTATTAAATCCTGTTTGATAAATCCTTTAACTAAGTATTTCAAATCCTTTTGATCAATTTTCTATGTTATATAATATTTAATTAAATCATGTCAAAATGAAATATGGTTACAAATAGTAAGGCAGCTAAACAAAATAAACAAAGAAAACACAATATTCACTCAAGCATCCTTTATATACTAAAGCACAAGTCACTCGTCCAATGGCAGAGTGACATGTGTTAAGTTTAAAGAAAACAAACGCTAATCGAGTCCACGTCACTAGCCTTTACAAATTAGAGCAAATTGTTATCACTAATTTGGAGATTAGGCAATGTGTAAAGCCCATCATTTATATTAAGCCCAAAAACACAAATAATATAAAAGAATAATTATATAATCACGTTTTATATTTTGTCTTCCACGGTTTAGAGGAAAAAGAAATCACTAATTTTTCATTCCTAGCTCCCCACTCTCTGATCATGGACCTCGAAACCATGAACTTAAATTCATTTTCCGTTATCAATTTCACTCAATTCCCATATTTTTTCGTCTTCCTCGATCTTTCATCATATCCAGTTCATCTGTTTTTGGTTTTGTTGTATTTCTCCGTTTCGAAGTTCAAATCATTACGATTTATCTTTAAATTCTCTTTTCCTCTCTGGGATTCTGATGTCCCGAAGTTGAGATTTTCATCCACAAGATAAATCAGATTTAATACTCGTGGATGAAAAGTAATCACTATTTGTTAAAATCAGATTAACAAGTGTTTTTAAAGATTCAGACATATAAGTTAGTTATACTCTGTTTTTTCTTAAAGGGAGACAGTATCTAAGCTTCTGTCAAAACAAAATTGGTTAAGAAATTCAAAAACCAATTGAAGGAAGGTGAATGTCAAGATATCATGAATTTCGAGGTTTTGGAGAACAATGGAGATTACAGGGGAACCACCCACCCTTACAAGATAAGTTTCTTATGTAAGCATACTTTTACATGAATCCTAAGACCTTCAAACATCCAGAGTAATCACATAATAGAATCATAAAGAGTTTATAGATGACTTACCTCCAGCCATTGTAGAGAAGAGATGGAGGCATTGAATCTGAGATAGATGATTAGGTTTCTCTCCCCTTGCCTATGAACTTTATGTGTCTTAACTTTAGGATGCCTTTACAATGGACTAAAGGAATATATTTATAGGTGGAGAGAAGACCTAATTTCTCTTTAGGGTTTCTTTAAATTTAATCTCAACCGTCCATCAAAGTAGAGATTATTAGGAAATACTCATTTATATTTAAGTTAATTAAATACCAAATATGTTATGAAATAGCAATAGCCCAATAGAAAAACGGATTAATATAAGACCATATAATAGGAAGATAAATTATCTTACAGTCTCCCACTTGGTCGTTATAAATATCCATTAATGTTTTCTTATTGGAATCATAAGGCCGGCATAAGATGCTAAACCCTTTTATTTGGTCATCATAAGTGTCTTGACTAATCTAGTAATCAATGGGAGTCATGGCGGTTGCATATCATTCTCCAACATGATCCCTTCCATGTACTACTACATTGATTACCTTCATAGCTAGACCATAAGTAGGAGTTATCATAATGGTCCCTTTATATCTTAATGAAAGACGAATTCTGTTATCATAAATCCAAAACAATTATGTGTGCACAATGGAGACAGAATAAATAAAAGATGTAAGAGTCATAAAAGATCTCAAATAAATGTCAAATATAGGCTAACCATAAAAGCAGACAACATAATTTAGAGCTGTCTTCAAGACCCATACTTTCAGCATGCTTTATAAGGTCTTTGAAGGCAAAACTTTCGTAAATATGTCTGCAACCATAAGATCAGTGCCTATGTGTTCAATGACAAACTTTCCTCTCTTGACATCTTGCTTTAGTGATAGATATTTAAGGTCATGTGTTTGGCACCTTTGGATATCCTATTATACTTGGAAAAGAAGATGGCAACTTGATTGTCACAGTAAAAAGTTAAAGGCTTCTCAACAAAATTCAAAGCCCCAAACTCAGACACGAAATTCTTCAACCAAGTTCCTTGAATAGAAGCCTCATAAAATGCTGATAAGAACCCAAACCCTAAATCCTCTTCTTTATTAGAATAACACCAATTACAATAGATAGATAGATAGATAGAAAACACTAGATAGATAGATAGATAGAAAGCACTCAAGATCTCATAGCGATCTCATTTAAGCACTCTCAAGATCTCATAGCAATCTTGTTGACAGACTCATAGCGTCTAGGTCAAATCACAACTAGAATATTCAGCATAACTAGGTAAAGCATAAACTAATCTACATATAATAAAGCAATAGCAAAGACTTTCCTTTTCTTCAAGAGCTTCCCAATCTGACTTCTTCCTTTTCTCTGTTAGCAAGACGGTTTGAACATTCCCTTTATCTGTATTTCTTTTCTTCTTTTTCCTTGTGTAAACTCTTAAGGACATATCAATACCCCCCTTTCGAAGACCCAGCTTGTCCTCAAGGGGCAATGATAATGCTCCAACTTGGAAAATCTGATCAGCTTTAGCTAGAATCACAAAGTGATCCTCTGGTCAAGTTAAAGCTTCTCCTTGAATCAGACTAACCCAATCAACTAGTCCTGGAAACATACAAAGAATCACTGCCCCATGTTGATGCAAGAAAGAGAGTTGAAGTAGTCTTATAATTAGCAGTTTTGTGTCTTTCCCACCAATAGAACAATAAGATCTCATCATAATAAACTGCAGAAAACTAGGAATGTGACTTCCTTTTGTTCTCCACTGTCCCAGAATGCTTTGAATCTTTGAATCCTTCTTTTCACGTTCCAAGTTGTACCCAACTTGTTGTGTAGTAGCTGTCTTGTCTCTTTGCCTTGTACGTCCTTTATACTTAAATTTCCATGTCTTTGGAATTTTTTTCTGCATACCTTGTTGCTTCTCTCTTTGTAACAGCATCAGCAGCAGGTTTTCGAATGATTTGTATGGGCAAGGTTTGGTCGGTATACATGATGATTGTAGTGCCAATTCCAGCTCGTTTTTCACTGGTAACATGTATACTTCTTGAGGCAGATCATCACTGACAAAATTAGAGTGCATATAATCCAAAAAATATCCAAATTGTGATGGCAATCCATCCATTAATTCCTTTCTCTGCATCAGTTTTGTCTCTGTTCTTGTTTCTTCCTCTTGACTAATCACTGGAATTAATTCCTTTGTCATCAGCACTACTGGTGGAGAGCAACTCATGACCGGTGCAAATCGAACAAGAAATCTGTTCCTAAATTGTGACCAGTTAGAGATTGGTGCTTTCTCCATCTCTCCGTAAAACCAATTCAACACTGATCCCTCTAGATGCAGAGCAACCAATGCCAACTTTTCTTTCTCTGCATAGTGACCTAATTGAAAAAATCTTTCTACTCTAGAGATCCAACCATACGGCAAACGACCATCAAACACAGGCATCTCCACGTTTTTTAACATACTTTCTTGATTCTCAATAGCACCAAATATTCTCCGATAACCTATCCATCTAGTAGTTCCATCAGTCACAGGAAGAGCACTAGGTACCTGAGGTAGAGAAAGTGATGACAAAGAGATTCCTTTGTCTTGACCACAACCTGAGAAAGAAATAGCTTCGATGCGTGAAAGAGTTTCAGCAATTGATGTCATCTGTTTCTCCAAAACGCCAAGTCGCGATGACATGCTCTCGCAGCCAGCCTTGATTGAGGCGACTTCGCCATGCAATTTTCCCAAGGAGCCACCAAGTTGTGTAATCCGTTCTTCGCACACCGCACAACTTAACCGTCATTATTGCTACAAATCTTAAGCTCTAACGGCGTATCTGTTCGAACCACACTCACCGCACCAATTTGATAAGAACCCAAACCCTAAATCCTCTTCTTTATTAGAATAACACCAATTACAATAGATAGATAGATAGAAAGAACTAGATAGATGGATAGAAAGCACTCAAGATCTCATAGCGATCTCATTCAAGCACTCTCAAGATCTCATAGCGATCTTGTTGACAAACCCATAGCGTCTAGGTCAAATCACAACTAGAATATTCAGCATAACTAGGTAAAGCATAAACTAATATATATGTAATAAAGCAATAGCAAAGACTTTCCTTTCCTTCAAGAGCTTCCCAATCCGACTTCTTCCTTTTCTCTGTGAGCAAGTCGGTTTGAACATTCCCTTTTTCTGTATTCGTTTTCTTCTTTCTCCTTGTGTAAACTCTTAAAGGACATATCACATGCTACATACTCAGCTTCGATAGTGGATGTGTAAATCAACTGCGACTTTCTGGCTTTTCCATTAGATGGCACCTCCGTCAAGGAGATACACATAGCCAAGAGTGCAGTGCCTAATGTCATGGCATCCACCAAAATCTGAGTCTGAAAAACAAACCGTCTGTTGATGTGTTGATCTCCTACGTCAGCATATGATTTCTTGTCCCCCTTTAAGTATCTCATTCATAAATCAAAATCATTGCTAGCCAATCATCATCATACAATAA